AGAGGAATATCAACCATGAGAGGTATATTAACCATACATAGTTACAACGATGAACCAACATCGAAACATCGTAAAAAGAGATTACATTTTACTGCCAATCCAAAAAGGTCGGAAAGACTGCTTGAAATGTCATCACTAGCAGCCTCAAGCTGCAGGACAGAGAAACAGAAAGACCAAAGGCTCGAGTATAGGACCGTAAAGTATCAAAGCAGCTACTTTAAGCCGAAGCAAAATGAAACAGTTAATGTGAAAATATCCCTTGAAATGGGAGAGGAAAGAATGAAAAAAGATTATAAAGATTAAGGGAAAAACTGTGGCCAAAAGAATGTAAGGAACGGACAGAGAAAATGACACATAAATAAAATAATAATGAGCAAATAAAAGAATAAATAAGAAAAGAAAGAGTATTGGCTTGAACAAACTAAATCATGTCATTCTAATTAGCAACTAAGGCATGATAAACGACAGATTGAATCTGACAGTATATATATAAAATATATATAATATGTATATATATATATGACAGCACTCTAAAGATAGATGCTACATAGATAGCACCTTCTTGTCAATCAGGTTATGGCAGGAAAACATGTGGACACCAAGACGTGTAGGCCATTCTACCAAACAAGATTGCTTTACACTCAAAATGTAAAATTTCTCGGGGATCCAGAAAGAGGCAGTCACATGGCAGAAAGGCTTTAAGCACACCGTATTGACCACGTCCTAACTATTTTAAAGTAGGTTGTTTAATGTTTGGTTCATAGATAGCAGGAATGACGTAACATTCTACGGGCACTAGCTCCATGTTAAAAATTGCCAACGCTCTGTTATTTATTACTGCTAGTTATTGTAGGTAAAAATTTATTAGCTGTTAAAATAGGGGCGTATGTTCTTTGAGATGGTCTTCCCTTGGGAATTTTTTACTTCATTTCCTGAACCCAACTCAATCAAGTAGTTTTTTCAATATGTAGAATATTTATAATTAATCTGACACAATTTCTACTCTCCCCTCTCTTGGAAACACCAAAACAACACAAAGAACATACAACCCCAATGTGAGCTTCTGGTTATCTTTAAGTTCAAAAGAAGAAAAGGGAAATTAATGCTCGGGTCGGTTATTTTCCCGCACTCTCTATTAATTATGAATTAAAATATTAAACCTTAAGTTTAAGACGTGCTTTTTAATATGAGCATCAGTATTGGAAGGTGCAGTTAGTTAGTGTGCTTTTTCAGGCAATCTACTAAGCCAAGAGAAGGCAGGAGATAGCTGTTATGTGCAGTCTTTAAGTCGCAAGTCATGTGCAAACATTTATACGGGAAAAGATAGCGAGTTTTCATTGGCAAAAACCGTAAACAAAACTGCATAGAAATGTTTTGACTTAAAAAATCAAAATATTCAGTATGAATTTTGGAATAGAACCAATGAAAACTTGCAAGCTACAAGTTAGTGTTAAAATGTTAAGTGCAATTGTAGGAAACACATAGTTCTAAAATCTAAGCATCAATTGAAAGTTTACAAAAGTTAATAAGTTACAAAAAGATACATGTGGGTTGGAAATTGCAAAACAAAATTTGATATGCAATGTGAATTCGTTGGGCTATATGATCGAAAGTTCTTCAAAGTGCAACGAAAAATGTGTAAAAATTTGTGAAAAAAGCCAAAAATATGAAATGAAAATGAAAAATAATTTCTAAATTAACTTGGAATCGAAAAGATGATTCTTTTTTTCTGGCAAAAACAAAACATCCGGTTAGGAAGCAACGCAAAAGTGGCTCAGACTGACGATAAAGCTATTTGGGTTAAGGGACATTTTCAGATTTCCCTGTTAAAAGTGCCGGTTGAAATGTTGGCAGCTTTCGTTGGCTGAGAAATTTGGAGTGAAATCAAATCTGAAAGACCGAAAGATCGAAAGCTTGACATAGACGGGTTGTGAACGGAAAACATTTGTGAGTTATTTGTTGCACACGATGTTGATAAAGATCAACACGAAGAATCACTAAAACTATAAAACATATAAACATAAAGGACCAACGACATATAAATAAAACACTGCTACGAACTACCCAGACACTTGAAAGGATTTAAATTACAAGCTGAAAAATCGAGAGAAAGGTTTATTTGAGAAGGAATACACATAGAGAGGAAATACAGATGAGGCGACGGCAGATTTAGTGCCATGTTGTCATCAATGCCAATGTTTTTATTGGCAATTTTGCAATATCATTGTTTCCGGCACGATAAGCAAAAAAATTAAATAAGTATAAGGTTGTAGAGGCTTATGTTTTCAGAAGATGCTAACATATGATTTTTAAATACCAAACATAGCGGTATTATGATGAATAAATAAAAATACAAAACTGCCATACCTGATGTTGTTCTTTGCGTCGTCGGGGCTTCTGAATCAAAAACAACTGTGGTTGTTATCACTTCTGGGATCGGGAATTTGTTAACGTCTTCCGATTTATCAACGGGGCTTGATTCGGGAGACAGTGGAGCTGTTCTTAGCTCGCAGGCTGACGCAGGCCGTACCTCTGCGGTGGCTGCCTGACCTGACTTATCGGGATGGAAAATTACTGGTTTGGTCCTAACGGGAGGAGGCACTTTTGTCTTTTTCACCTGCGTAAAGGAAAGGGATAGGTTTGCTTGAGAAATTGTGGTTTGGATTTGATAGAGTCGATCTTTTCGGCGTTGGGGGAAATTTGACAGAAAATAGGGTATGCCAAACTCTGAATGCATTCTCAAAGAGAGAAAACTGGCAGGGGATTCTGGTTTTATCCCATATGACGCAAATGAAACTCTGTCAGAGACAACAGGAATTTGTGTCCTGCTATAACAAGAAATTACCTAGGAAACTCTTGAAACGGTAATCAGAATTGGTGTGGCCTAAAGGCGAAAAATCATAAGAAAAGATTCCTAAATCCTGAATGATTGTTTGAACTGTCATTCTCCTGTTTTGGTGAAAACTGACATTAGCAGAAGTTGGATAAATACAATACCTCTGGCCTCTCGACATTGGCAAAACTAGTAGATCGTGTGGGTACGACCCCCTTTGAATCATCAGCTGAGCTATAGACACGTGATCTTCTTCGCTCCTCAATCTCAACTTCCTCCTTGTGTTTAATGGTTTCATGCCGCCCAATCAAACTCTTCACGAAGCCATGCTCTCCTTGTTCCACGCCTGCAGACGAACACATTGCACTCTATAAATACTAACACGAAAAAACTATCTTTGCTACTCTGATAACTGCAGGATTTTAAAATATACTGCCTTGGGGTCGTTACTCACTCAGTACTTTCGTTTGACCATCTTAAGAAATTCAAAATCAATATACAGTTCCCTTTAGCCCTACAATTCCGCTTGAAAAATCTTCCCCCTTTATCTTTACAGACCTTGTTATTTTCAAATAGCCTTTCGTACCACTGCCCAATCAGTAACATTTGACCAACAAACCCAACACCCATTCTTAAACGATCCACTTCCTTCTTCATCCATCTTCCCATTCAGCTCACTACACACACCCCTCTAAAAAAACCCCCTCCCTTCCCGGACAAAACAAACTCAAAACATGAACGACATGAAACACGGTAATTACCTGATTCTTCTTTAAGAGAGTATTCGATCCTTGACTTTTCTTCCACAGGTTCTTGCTTACTGATCACACTTTCGTCATGCAACCCCCCTGACGAATAGGCACGAAGCAACTCCTCTTTAGTGATAAGCGGGACGTACTTCCTCGTTTTACGGGGCATCGTGCGTGCACCTGATCCGGGACTGTAATCAAAATCTAATTCGTTGCCATAGCTACGCCTTATGTACCCGCTGCTCCTCTCAGGAGGCGGGCGACGCACGAACTTGCGATCGAGGGTTTTTGCCTTTCGAGTGTCCTCAACCTAAAACAAATGGGGTTGAAATTACATTTTACAGAGAAATTTGAACTCAGTAATTGTTTTAAATGTAATCACGGGCCTTGAGGAAACCAACAAAACCTTTTTAAAGCACAGAAATAGGTCATGTTTTACTGGGGTTTGAAGAAAGCTTTTAGAACCTTTTGCTGGCACTATTCATCTACTCTAGAGTTAACTTGTCTTTCCCCTCAATTTTCAAAACAGAGAGCAGTTTTTATTATTGTACCTAAATGCAAAAAGGGCATACTTATGTAAGAAGTTTGAAAAGAAATCTAATACTTCAAGGAATATTAGCATTTAAATTAGTGTTTGAGAGCCACGATTGAGCGTGTTTGTCTTGTAAAAACTATGATCTGATATAAAGAAACTTTACCGGTGCAGAATCTAGTGAAATTTGTCATAAACGTTTTCTTAAGGAATTTTGTTTACTCTGTGTTATATGGAAACGCAATACAGAATGTTTCACGAAACGTCAAGGTTTTGGAGAATTTTCGGTAGCATCTACAGCAATCATAGTAGGAATGCTAATCTTTGAGTCTCCAGCTTACAAACCACACGTGTGATTTTTTCCTTGAATTTGAAGAAGAGTCGCCAACAATACGATTTACAGGCATAAAGCTTCGTTAAGTGGTGTTTTATAAATAAAGAATCAAGCAAAAAATTGGATCAAACTATTGTAGTATCTGGATTAGATCACCTGCTGTCATTTAGGGATATGATTCAAAGTAAGCTCGTTACTGCAGCGGAAGATATGAAGATTGCGGACATCAAACTAAAAATCACCGTAATGCGCTGATCTAGGACGGGGGTGTTCTAGATTAAAAATCAGCATAGATAGCACCATATTAACAAGAAATAGAAAAGAAACGAGAAAAGGGAAAAAAGTCATGAGAAAAAACGAAGGGAAGAGCGCAAGGGAAAGACGGCATAAAGAAATGTTAGGTTTACAATAACGATGTTTGCAAGTTTTACTAGTATATTTATTAAAGTTTAAAAGCGTAATTAATATTTTTGCAGATATAGAGCACTGCAATAAAGTGAAGTCTTAACCAATAATATGATAATTGATGCTAATTATGCAACTTACAGCAAGCGTGTCCAGGGACTGGCTCTTCTCCTCCTCCTTCAGAGCGTCCACCTCATCGTCGTCGTCATCCTCTCTCATCTCGTCAGGGTCATTTGATCGATTCAGCTCTTCATCCAACTCTCTCATAAATTGCGATGGCATCGGTGAAGTCTTAATCAAAAACGTATCCATACCGCGGATTCCAAACTCTTTGTCAAATTCCTCGTTGCCAGTGGATAACGAAATCTCTTGCAACTCCGGACTAATGCTCGGTTCTTTTGTGCCTCCTCCTCAGCTTCCATCTCTTTCTGTCTTTTCTCTAAAGCCTCTTCTTCCTTTCGCTTCTGCTCCTCCTCCTTCCATTTTCTTCTAAGCGCAGCTTCACGCTCATTTCTTGCTCTAATTTAGAATAGAAACTGGATTGACTAGAAATTCCTTTGATACAGATGTTACATTCAAGTGGTATTAGAATGGTATTCTAATTACAAATACCAGTCCCAAAATTTCAAAGTTTTAAAAATTGTAAATATCAAAAAGGATAGGAAATTGGATAAAGTTCCGAAGTTCTAGAGAGCGGAAAAACGAAAAGAACGCAGAAAATAGGAGAAATTCTAAATCTCAAAGAAAGTGATCTTAGAGGAGCAGAGGATTGCCCTATGAAGATGCGATAACGAAATCTGCGATAAGGGCAGAAACCCAACTATGATTTAAATTGACTTCCTAGAAGTAACACCAAATGACAATTGAATTAAAGGGAATCTTCGAAAGACGGTGAAACCCACCTAATTTCTTCTTGCCTTTGCTGTTCTTCTTCGATCTCTCTTCGCCTCAGCTCTGCTTCTCTTTCCTCTTTCGTCACTATTTTCACAGTTTCTTGCTTGTCAACATTGTAAACAAGCACTTTAGTCGGCGCTGTTGGCTCAGCTTCGTTTTCAATATCCTCTCGCATGAGAGGCTTCACAGCTGCACTTGGTTTCTTGGCAGAAGCTCTAAAAGCAAAATAAACGAATGAATTCCTACGAGATTTTTTTATCACTTAAAAAATAATATCCTGGATAAATTGCAAAAATTTTTCGTTCGTGATTGCCATCGTGTTCGTGCTGGTATCGTGTCCATGTAGTTAATCGTGTTCGCCTATGAAATTTCGTTCGCGGTGATAATTATAAGCTATGATAAGATCTAATACGAAGCGTACAGTGCGATAATAGAACCTGATACTAACCTGATGTCTGCAAGCGACATTGGCTTAGGCTCGGCCTCTTCATCTAGTTTCTGTTCTCTCTTATCTTCTGTGACAATTGTTTCTTTAGTGATAACGGTACTACGATCAGAAAAAATAAGTCAAGCCCTGGCTGCAACTGTGCTGGCGTCTGGAGCGAGAAATCTTGCAAATTGACAGGACGGGGGCATAATTAAACAGATTTGTTGCACTGCGTTTGTATCATCAACTAACAATTGAGAGTCTAAGGAGAAGCGCCGAACCATTAAATTCCGAATGAAAGAAATGCACATCACAAATCATCCCTCCAGGTTAACATCTTCCAAAAAATTAACAGTTATATATTCCAATATAATAAAAAATCAATTCGTTTCTGATTAAATATATTTCTATATTTTCTATATTAAAATATCCAATTGAAATGCAGATTCTGACGTCATAACAACTAATAACTATTCTTGCACGTCACCTAGTTTAGCAGTCACAAATGGTATACTCTGAGTTCGATCCGGATAATATAGAAGGCACAGTTCAACATGCTTTCCCTACACTATCTTCCATAACAGTAATGAATATTGTGTCTACCAAACAACAAAAAACAGCTTCTAGACGACTGACGAAATTTTACCTCCGTGGCAAATAGTAAGCGATTCTCGAAGTTATTTCCAGACATTCATGCATTTTTAATCAGTTGACGAAAAATACTCCCTAATCGAACAAAGGTCTTAAGATTAAGCTTCCCGGTTTTCTATTACTGCCAGTGAATAAACAGAGACGGTTTCGTTCATGTTTTTTCAGCAAATCCACCCAAATTTAAATGGAACCTGCAACAAACGTCTTTGGGGCAAAGAGTCGCTTGTTACTCTTAAAGAAATCATTTGGTAGTAGTTTAAAGCTAGTGAACATTTACGTCAGCAACCAGAGAGGCCGTACTTTAATAGTCTGTCTACCGATGCAACTTTGTCAAATTTTTGTTTGATTCGAAGGCAAAACGCTTCATTTACCATGTTTTCTCAGACCTGTTGTCCTGTTCAGGCTTCAAAACCGCTAATCAGTAAACGAGTTTATCGTGAACATTGCAAAAGTTCTGATAATTTTTGACAATAATTTGTCTGGCTATGCAAAGAAATCATCAGTTTAAAGATTTCGACTAGGCCATGTTCATAATCCTTTCACCTACTGTTTTCCATATCAAGTTTAAGGAAACACTCTTCTTTCTACATGGACTAGTTGAAAGGTAACACAACAAATCGTAATCTTCGCCAGTTGGTTTTCATCTTTAATATATACAAATACGATTTAAGGAATTGTAACAATAGCAGAAAAGCTGATAAACAACTTACGTAACAATTTGCTGATTGCTATCATCCTCAAATTTCACTTCCTGCTTTACTTCCTTCTCGGAAATTTCAGGCGATTCCTTTCGGGTGATAACAACTGTTTCCTCCTTTCTCGGGCTTTCGATTGGCTTCTCTTCCATCACATGCTCCTCCTCTTCAGTGCCTTTCCGGATAACATAAGTAGTCTTGGTTGTTGTAGTTGTTGATGTTGTCGTGGTGACACGCCTTCGATACCGCTTCGTTGTGCCATCTGGCAACACCTTTTCAACTATAACCCATTCCTTTGAGAGGAATTAAATCAAGAATTGATACTTTGATGAACTTCAAGTTATCTTATTGAAATGGATTATTCATTTTAAATTATTCATTTCCTTTTGAGTCCTTTATGACCAATCTTTGTTGCTTTAAGCTAAAACTGTTCTAATGTCACCAGAATCGACAGGCTAATACCAGGCTAGAGATCTAATGTTATTTACCTCAAAATATTTCCATCGAAATTACAACATTTTATTATATACATCACGCATTTAGAAAATTATCTCTATGAAAGAATAAGCCAACTCAGCGCAATGATTAAGGAATGTTTATGCAAAACATTTGCTGGCATTGAGAGACCAGCAGAGACCAAAAGCACCTTGAATCGACAAGGTCTGAGACTAGGATAAATTAACAGCCCGCAATCATGGAAAGACAAAAACAACTTACGTTCGGATCAAATTTGTTGTGATCCGGTTGAGTTTCATCGATTTCTATTTCTTCGAAATCTTCTTCCGGTTCCTTATCCTTTACATCCGGTTTCTCCTTCTCCGCAACAACCGGTGCGCGAACCAGTCTGTTTTTCTCTGATTTAATCCTAGGCCGTTTGCTGGGCGCGCGGGAGAATTTGCCGACGGCATTGCGCTCATGGAAACTTGGATCACTTCTTATTTGGTACAATGTTCGTTCGCTACGGAAAATAATCGATGAATACTTCGGGTAAGAAACAAGGGATATTGGAGGGCAAGAGAGTGTATCACACTGTTTCAAAACGAGGGATAAGGTTTATCTAATCAAATTGATTCTTGTTTGGTTTGTCACTGAAGCTTTATGCAATTTCCACTGCACAATCATTTGTTAGGTAGTTCATTCATGCTAAGTTCTTGCTATACCATTATGCGAAAATTTACTCCTCTTTGTGGCACTAATTTTGATTTGCACCAGATACCCTCTAGTGATTGCAAATGTTTGACATTCCACGGGTACAATTTGAAGAAAAGTGTTTGATGAATGATGCAGTCAAAAGATGGCTTACCTGTAACGGAACTTTGATCCGATCATCAACGAATCAGCAGCCCGCTTTGAAGGGTCGGCGTTGGTCAACCTAAAGAGAGTTAATAATCACATGTATTTTGGATTGCAACTGCAACCATCCCAAGTTTAGTGAATAAGAAACAAAATAAGACAATAGTCCATTTTCCAAGGGTTAGAAGCAGCCAGCAAAATCATATTTCCCCGAATAAATGTAATGAATGTAAACAAGACCTTGGATCTAATGATTAATGATCCGATTTGAGGCCGATTTTTAAGGCTAAGAGCCAGATTACAAATGCAAGCAATAGTTCGACATACCTGAAGAAGGAATGATGCTCAATTGCAGATATGTAAATATTCTTTGCATCCCGTCTTTTGTGCATGGAGAAGCGTGGGTTTTTTCTTTTCTAAAACCAAACAAATTCAAAACGCTAGAAACAAATTGATGTTTACAGAATTACAAAGAAGCTACTTTTTACTTTTCTTTCTTCGTCAGTATACTAGAGGAAAACAGACTACCAGGTATTTTAAATGAGCTTCTTTATTAAAAGGAAACATAACATTTTTTCACGGAGAAAATGGAGCACGTCCAAAAACTTATAGGACTTGAATTTTGATTTCCAACGAACAGATGTCTTTATAAAATGTTTAAAATATTTTACTGCTAAGTTTCAACGCAGGGACGTTGCGCTTCAAACGGAAGAATCTTCTGACTATGAAATATCTAGCTGTAAAATTTCCGTGAAGCTTTTAACTAAAAAAATTCGGCTGAAATTGGTAGTGTTTTTTAGAAATTCCACAGAAATGTGTGAATTTAAATTAATTAACAGCAAAAAAACGTTTGAGATTAAAAAAACAATAAAAGACCCACCTCAGATGAAAATAATTTAAGCATGAACTTTTTTCTTTTGTAGGCAACCAAGTCGACAGCTCGCCTGACAGAAACAAAAGGGCTTAAGACAACGATGAATTGGTTGAATGAAACAACAATTATTATTGGCATTGCGTACTTCATTGCAAATATCGATGTTACTGTACTCTACTTTGAAAAATCTTGACAGGAGCTAATGACAAGGCTCATTACAGTGCAACATCTTTTAAGCAATAGAAGTTATAAATATCAGATTATACTATCAAAGATTCAAACCCAAATAAATAGTTTATTAAGTAGAAAGAAAAACCTAAAAAAATATCGCAGCTACATTTCTGATTGTAAAGTTTCAAAGGGTATATGTCGCAATGCAAAATAACAAAAACAAATGCAACAAGAAATTTGTTTAGTTGCTTTTCATTTCTATTTCATGAATTTTTACAGCCGTGTAAAATCCATCGTCGACTCCATGCTTCGCACTCAACAATTAGGTCATTGTACTGCACTAGCCAATCAGATTCACAACACGGGCCTTTCAATATGTCCTATCTTAAAGGAAGAATGAATTAGTACTATCATGCAAATGCCCTCTGCGAAAATATTTCCTCAAATTCTGAAGAATTTTTAGATCGCTTTCTTCTGCGAAGGCTATGAGATGTCCTGCTTTGATAATCATCCCAATAGCAAATTTTGCAAAGAATCAAAACACATTTTGAAAACTGCCAAATGTAACCCACCAGCCATAACTATCAGTAGGTTCCCCGTTTAGGTATACAATAACTCCTTTGTGAGAAATCCCAACTTCTATTGGCACGCCTTTCTTATTCTGGAAGAAAAAGGAATGGTTTCAAAACTCAGCGGAAGAAAACGGGGCAATGACAGATAGCAGCAGATCAAAACACCTTATGGCAAAGTTACGAACTGATAAAAACCTCGCAATGCGTCTTGCTTGAGATACCAAAAGTCCACAGAACAATATCTAAAGTACACTTACTAAATAAAGTGAAGTTTATCAAGTTGTTTGGTCTAGAAATCACACTGATGTGTAGAAAACTGCAAAACCTTCTCAGCACCAAGCGGCTGTAAAACATTAGTTGGGTAAAAAATCCCTCCCTTAAATACTGAGGTTAGAGAAACTGACGCACATATCTTAATTAGGTACCAGACAATCCGCAAAATGTTATGGCAAACATACATAAAACATGTCCCCCTGACAAGAGGGCAGATTATATCTATCATCCAGATCGGAGAAAAAAATTACAATCCAAAACGAAAAGCTCTTACCCTTGCATAGTGAATGTCCACTCCATATCGTGGCGTGCGTTTAGCAACCTCTAAAAAATTTAGTTCAGCTTCTGCAGGGTTTTCGCCCCTAAAAACAAACGCATTGTCATAAGACTGACGGGAAGCTAATGCTTTCACGGTCAAACAAGCTTAACCTAAAAATGGGCAGACTCTTAGTGTTGGAATTACCATGCTTTTTTGATAATATACACAAAAATACTGCTACCAATTTTTCATTTTCATCAAATTTGAGCAATTCAGAACTTTGCAAAATAAACAGGGAATCAGGCCAGAAGTGGCAAGAAAAAATCCTGGCAACCGTTCTTCAAGAGATTCCCCCCACAAAACAACAAATCTTGTCAGCATGATGAATTAAAAGCATGTATGGTGACTGGCCGAGTCAATAGTGCAAACGTTCTGCTATACCTGTGTTCTTTGTGAAGATCCATGACCCTCTTAATGAAACCCTCTTCCTTCTCCACCTGGAAGAACAAAAAATAACAATAAATGATCTATACAGTGTAACCAAGCATTATTCGAGATTCTTTATAAAAACCAGTAACAAATTCAAACACAGTAATTTCTCATCTGCTTAGGCGATTTGCTGCTAGAAGTAAAATTATTCCCCAACTGATACATTTCTTTTTCGTTTCATTTTAAGGCAGTTCCCTAGAAGCTTTTAACAAGGGGCTTCAAGCTCAGAGTGGAACAAAATTGTCTCATTCTGGGACCAGAATGGAGGCCGGAAAAACTTTTAGCTCTACAGTAGTGGGGAAGGTAACTTGAATCAAGGATTTTGGCTTGTTAAGAAACCAAAATTTGAAATACCTTGCCAACTACTTAGAAAATTAATTGTATCACGTCATTTTGTAAAAATGTTTGAATGAGGATTTCTGCTGAATCTCTTCAAATAAAACAGGTTGCTTCAAAATCTTTATTTATCTTGAGTTTGGCCTAACACTACAAAAAGCCCACAAGCCCTATTCGTCTTTTGCCATTTATGGAGACATCAATATATGAATAAAATACAATAAAATTTGGCTTCAAAAAAAATTTGCCAAAACGAAACACGCAAAGTATCTTGACTGAATTCTTATGCATCGAAATTTTCTCTGATTAATTAATGCAGTTGTACGAGCTGATACAACAATCAAAGTTTCATTATTCCTTGACTTTCATTTTGACAGCTCTCTCTGTTCAAAAGTTTTGATATCGACCTACAAATTCATCCAGTTCTTCATTCTGAGAGTTTAGCCCTTTGGTCTGATATGTTTGCCCCCCCCCCCTGCCTGAGTAACGCCACGTTTGCGCATAATATCAAAGATGGAAGGAACTTAGAAACATGAAAAGCGTGTGAATCATTAGAAACAACGAGTAATCAGACGACTTTACCTCCGCAGGCCCAAGCTGATATCCATCAAGGTAATCGCTACCATGCTCATTAAAGTCATAATCTCCAAACTCGGCTAAAAATTGAAACAAGATTTGTAAACACCAAAAACCTCAGTACTATAAATATTACAGAAATGGTCAAAATGCCATCGCAAAGCATAGTTATGAAATTGATGTTAACAGGTTTGACGAACAGTGTTCGATGTGCTGAAAAGACAGGGGTGCCATCAAAAATATTAGGACGTGGGCTGTGCTGTAGGCAACTTCTAGAAGCCACACCCGCGACCACACCCAATATCTATAAACTTGCATGAATGTTACTGTTGTGTCATGAAATCATTCAAATTACTCAGGGACTCAAAAAGAAACTGACAGGAAATTGCTTTACAGAAAATCTAAAGAATAATAGAGGGTTGCCAGCACAGAATTCCTCCAGGCTGAGCCCCCCTCCACGAAATATCTCCTAATTTTGACAAGGAGGCTGAGCCTCCTTCCACGGCACCCCTATATTTATCAGTTGCAATTCTGATTTTCGGTTCCATTCCAGACAAGGTGTAGTTATATTTGTAAAAACTATTGCAGGCATGTGAATTCTGTTATTCAGAACCATTAACAGCACTTTAGTGATGGAAGATTAAATTTTGTGGGCGCTGGTATAAAGCTATATGTACACTTTTAGGAAACCAAGGAATTTCTCCACAGAATCTCTGAACAAACAATTTAATGCCGCCTCTTGAGAAATTCTCAAATCTCGGTATTTGAAAATTTTTTTACCTGGGGTCCTTTAATTCATAATTCACAAAGTATTTACAATAACGAGCGTGATTCCTTCTATGTGACTCAAATCTTTTCAGAACTGCCATAGTCTATATATAGCAGATGTTGCCTTCTGCTTGGAACACTTAATCACGCATGTTTATTCATAAAGGGAATATTGATGTGCGGGTATACCTTGAGCTGTAAATGATCCTAGTAAAACGTAGGTTCTTGTTGGACAATGAAGCCTAGAAATGAGAAAAGAAAACTTAATTAGAACATATAGACTAAATATCAAAATATGCTATGTGATGCCAAAGATCATTATCATCATCAGGTACCATCTTCTATCAGAAGGTACCATGGCCCTCCAACTATCACAAAATCTGAGTTTTAGTTCCCCATTCATGTCCTGTCGGAGCATGCCACTGCCCTGATGCCAAACATGCTGGCTAAAATATTAACATTTGCAGTATATGCAATAATGAAGTTTTGTGTTCCTTGAGGTGACTTTTGTACCTTATCGAATATATTAAATTTCTACGTCATAGCAAACAAATTCATCTGGTTCCTAGGGAAGTCCTAGTGTCATCGCCATTAGTTCTTCACTCAATATTCAAATCACCCGTTTGCCTAACTTTCAGATAAAAGTGTTGAGAAACTTAACGTACCTTCCATATACAATGTCTTCACGAAGTTGCAGATACAGCAAGTATCTAGGGAATGGAGAAGTCAATTACAAAAAGGGGAAGTCGTTGTTAGGGGAATCTACGTGACAGGGACGTCACTTAAAAACAAAAAACTACAGATTTATAAACCGAATCTAAAGGAAAATATAAAAACATAGGAAGTAAAATATACTGTCGACAAAACAAGACTAGTTAAAATATATACAAGATTATTATAAAGTTCCAAACTATACAGGATGGCCAACCGAAAATTTGACCACAAGGCAACTCACAAGGAATTTCATAGTTAGAGAAAGTACTTAACAATTACAATAAATTCTAAGACCTATAAGTATGGCTATCTATAACTGGTAGCGTTAAACAAACAATGAGTAAAAAGAAAAAGGAATAAATGAAGAACGTTGAACTGATTGGATACCTCGTATATTCGTCTAGATGTTTTCCTGGTTCAGGCTCATAAAATTTTACAGCAAACTGGAACTTGAGCTCGCCAACTAAAAAACAGATGGATGGTTTGGTAAAAAATCAACTGAGAAATACAAGCAACAACGTTTAAATGAATATTTGGAAAATAAGTTTATACTATTCATTGTTAGTCCAATGTTTAGGTCATTATATGGACATAATTCGAAAACCGACATATTTATTGGCACACGAAATGTCTGGGACATATTTATACAAATCAATATAAACAAAAAATATATTGGAAAAGATAAATGAGAATACAGAAAAAAGGACCAAGTAGTAAAATATTTGGAATTGTTGCTTTGAGCCACTAAATTCTATTGCCTAAAATCTACATTTGGTGAAAAATGCTTTGAAAGCTTTGACTGTAAAGAAACTTTTTCTAAAAGATTGAATAAAGAGCAGAAGTCAAGTATGATTGATCTGATGAAAGTAACAATCAAAATCTCCTTTATTAGCACTGGTATTGAAAGTTAACGATCTGCCACAGGACAGCTTTCTTATAAAAAATAGGTATAAAAATTAGGTAGTTGACAATATCAAGTATGCCACTGAAGGATAGTACTTGCTACTTCGTCTGAGAATTACATATTGTCTACGTTTAAAGTTCACTCTCGGGTGAACTTTATCGATCCTTTTGAAAGTTGTAGCAAAACAAGGTCAAACAAGCTTTAGTGAACAGACCAAAAGATGTGGACGATTTTGGGGGAGTTAAAAGGATTTGGATAAAGAATCTGACAAGAAAATCACTTGAACATTCAAATGAGCCTATTTAACAGCGATAATCTATTGAGATATGAATGAATAGATATGGATGATGATTAAAACAGAAACAGACAGCCGACATTTTATGCAATTTATGAACACTTGCAAGAAACAAGATTGTAGCTGGACAAACGAGCCGGATCTTTTGTCTCACCCCCGGCAGATCATGAAAAATTGATACCTCGATCAAACACTGATCACTGTCTTCAGGGGGTCGATATTCAGAAAACATTAACAGTAGGATTGTCTGTTTACAGCATATTTTTGGCAAGCAAAAAGAAGGTTTGCGTGGCTACGAAAAGTTCAAAGCAAAATTCAAACATGATACCGAAATTATGTTTTTGGAAAGACAATGCGGTCAGAAGCTTTGGACTTATGGCTTGAAACATTCAGTGCGTTATGCAACGTCGTTGGAAACAGTACATTTTTAAGGCCTGTTGCTATAGTTAATCTCCAGGACGTCTTATATGATGATAATGCGATTCGCTTCATGTTTCTCGACAGACAAAAGAAAACGAGACAAAGAGATCGATTGAAGATGAGACCATCAATTGACGACAACGCTGTTCTATCGAATTTTCACTGTCTAACGATAATATTAGTAAACTCGACTCACTTTTTAGCTGTTTCTTGATCGGCTTGCGGTGTTGCAACCAGCACTGCAAAAAATGGGAAATCGAATGAGCTGGAGGCAAAAGCAAAACAGTCCAATAAAAGTAATTCTTTTATCAGTTTGAAAAGTAAATGATCAGATAAAAAGAATGGATGAAAACTTATTCCAGGACAGAAGAAGAAAGTGGGGCCTTTAATGTCGTACAAAATGGTCCAAATACGATTTTGCTGCATTTAGAAAAACAGCTGAAACTAATCTAGAGGTGATATTTATCGAGACACAAGCGGAGAGAAATCCTTTTAGGGAAACACCTATAACGTCAATTCACCATTTCCCACCAGGATCGTATGTAAAAGCCCAAAGTTGTAAATGATTCATAGACATTAAAACACGTATACGCCAACCATCTTTGAAGAAGAGTTGATAGTACATAATTTTTAACATTAAGTTATTAGATAAAAGAAATTCAATCATTAATTACACACTTATGTGCAACTGAATATGTGAGAAATATTGAGAACTGAATGTAAAGAAACATCAGTACCTTGGTTGGACTGTTGTCCTGCACGAACCGTAGGCCAAAATATTCCTTATCAACTATGTCTAGATTCTCTACAACTTTTGAAAACAGAACTTCTCCATGCGAATTTTTCTAAAAGATAAAACGATGCAATTGTGAGACAGACGACGAAAAAGAGGACGCAAAAATCGATGAAAAAAACGACGGGATCCGATAAACCCTGAAACTGAAAAAAAATTAAAAAATAAAAAGGGAAATTAGGTTTACACGAATTGCAGTCGGTTTCTAAGTATGAAGAAAGATAAATATCACGCCCATTATATTGGATGGGCATAAAGCAAAATTAAAAATCGTTTTAATCGTCAGGCGAATCTATCTAAGGCACGCAAGCTAATTTCTGGAACCAGAGTGCCAAGCAGCCACACACACTAATATATGGCATTAAAAAAGACAGTTGTTATTCAATGAAAAAATTCTGGAACCAGATTTCAAGGGTACGTTTCTTTTCAGCCACACAAATATGGCCTCAAACAATACTAGTCGGCTAGAACTTTAAGAATGCTAGAATAGCGCTTTTGCTTTGTTACAGAACAATTAAATCGCTGGAGAGGATTCGTTTGATAAGATACAAGTTCTGGATCATTATGATTTTGATTCTTATGAATACAAAATATTTCTACCAATATTACATCTGGTGATCTTTTTCAAAATGGTATTTCGTTTGTAGGACGATCATGTTGATCAAAGCACCATTAGCCTAAGGATTCTAATCTTACCCTGATCCTGAAATCGACTATTACGGAATACTTTTAGAATTAGGCTAATCCCAGAGACTACTACAAATCCTTTGAGTACATTAAACCAAGGCGATTGTTGGGTCTTCGCAAACATAATATACAGAGCACTGCCAAGCGCCCGCACGCTCTACCACCCATTGCTGGTTGTTCGGTGTAAGAGTGCTCAAATGTTCACAGCAGAAACAAGAACGGCGCATTGAACAATGAAATTGAGGGGCCATAGGTTAAAATAAATTTGTATTGATATCGGATAAAAACAAATTGTCTTGCTGGAAAATGGGTGGCAAGGTTCCCCTTTGCCCTCTACTTGGCAAGGCACATTAAGTATCTTCTTTCGGTGAATATTAAAAAGCTGCGAAGCCACGAGAAAGAATAGGAAAAGGGACGAGGACTAGGGCAGTGAGGCGTCCACACGTCACTGTTACCCTGCCGCTAATGTCGAGGATAATGGCGTTGAGGAAAGCTGTAAAAATTTTCAATTCTGTATCTCTTTGTTTTAACAGGTCAAAACAGCCCCAGACGACCTGTAAACAGTTGAACAATAAGAAGCTCTTACAAAACCGGGTCTAGACTCTTATGCCTAGGCGATGTTCTTATGCCACATGAGCCTCGATATGAAAAACCAAGTTCCGACGGAGTGGAAAAGAGACTAAAGTTAACAACATATATGGGCAGCTTAACTAATTACAAAAATATTAAACAGGAATTCATGGTTACGGTAAAAAAACATTCAATGAGAACTCTCGTGTTAAGCTTTCAAGCAGGCAAAAAATGCAAAAAAAATCAAGGTCTTTGTAGACCATTGTAGATGCAAAAAATGAGCTTGTCTTTCAAATATGGGATGGAAAAATGCTTAAAATTGTCAGGTGAAAAGAGGTGATAACTAGAGGCGATTCGATTTCGTGATTATGGGTAGTTTGTTGTTCTGACATCACAGTCACATAACTTACAAAGCAAACAGGGAGCAGGTCTTTAAGCAACGCTATGTATTGCAAACAAAAAAGAGAAACTGACTCTTACTGCCAATTACAAACAAAAAACTCAAGCACAACAGTCCAAAAACTCAGTACGTAGCATTAAAAGCTTCAGATGCCCAGGCTATTATTCCTGCTCATCAACAACTATTCCTACTAGTAAAATACAGTAATCTTGTACGAAACCTTGTGAGCAAAATGTGCATAACACAAGGTGTTCTCTAGGTTCTCACTTAATATATGCTTAACACCAGTTGTTTATAGCATGTTTGTAATTAACTCGCAGTACCATGAGGATGCTTTGTAGCAGGTGTTCAACACCATGGGTGAAAATGGATGCTTTCTCCCAAGTATCGTATTTCAGTGGCCTAGCGTTTCGGGGTGCCGCTAGCCTCTCACTGAAAAAAGCCTCAGCCCGAAACCCAATCTTGCCAGTCGGAACTGGGGTTATCGAAGCCCTTGTCGGCTTTAGCGGGAAATTCAAGTAAATGTTTGCAAAACACTAAGCAACAACGGAAACCTTTTTGCAAAATTTTTCCAATAGGGCGCCCTAGATTCCAACTGCCACAAAGAGTTTGCAGCATTTCTGTTAGGCCGTCAAATAATGTCAATCTGTCGCACCCGGGCAAGCTTCATAGTCGACTGGTATCGACAGGTTGCTTTTTAGGTGTTTTTCTTAGCAAATAATCGCTTCATTGTGACAAACCACTGCATATTACGCGATTGAAACCGCAATTTTCATATTTAATCATCACGTTACGTTTCAGTTTTTTGGGAAGTTGTTTTTACTAAACAAACATTCTAAATCGGACAGCAAAAGGGGCGGAGCTCAAGCAATATCTTACAGGGGGTTCGAACGAAAAGTATGGGCGTGGTAATTTAGTTCTGATGCACAGGTTTCTCCGATAGCTTTTGGGTTGATAAGACTTGGGGCTGGGTATGTTTATCCTAACATCATCAAGGCTTACTATTCAGTATAATTTAATTTTGCCAAAGCAAAGCTTCTTTGGGCTGGCAAATGTACAAGTATGGAAACAAAGGGTTCCACTAGACAAAATTTATGAAGCCATACTCTTAAAGCTAAAAATCTTAAAAATTTTCACAGTTTTAGCCAAAAAATGGTATGTGTTGTGGGTGGTGCTGATTGGGCCAAAAAAGTTTGAAAATTTACCAAATTGTTGAAAGTTGAGGGTTGCGTTTATCACTTACAAACTGCAAAACCTTTCAACAACAAGTTAGCAAGTACTGCAACCGGAAGTCAACAATGATCACATGACAATCTCAATGCCATATGCCTAAATGGTAGTTTCTATAAGCCTAAAAATTATTCTGAAAAAATGATGGTGGCCTAATACAATAATGCAATGGTGGACACTGGGGATGGGGGGGGGGACATTGCCACTTAAATTATGGAGCACAATGGTCTTTCATTCTAGAACAATGGGGGAAATGTGACGCCATCTTTTCAAAAAATTAGACTTGCCCCCCCCCCCCACCCAACACATTTGACCTGCAATAATGGTTCATATCAACTGTTCATTCCACCACCACCAGGAGTATTTTTCTGTCAACATGAAAGATAACTATATACATTAATTGCCAACTCCCACACTTACATACATTAAAAGGAAAACATGGCTTGCTAAGTTGCCTTTGAATCTAAATTTCATTAATGCAGGGTGTTGTTAGAAGGGACAACTGCTAGTAAATATAAAAAATTTGTTTTGCTAGAAATAAAGCCAAGAAGTGGGTGAATCACAGCTGACATCAATTTGAAAAGCTACTTATGTTACAAGAATGGCAAAGTTGTATTACTTTCTTCAAATGATACTACTTTGGTAAAACAGTATGCTTTGGCATTACAGGGGGATTCTTTTCTTGCCAGCAATTGACTTTGTGACCAAGCCAGTTCTATTTTGGCAATTCTTATTCAGTGCCAAGAAATCTCTGTAGTATTTGGCAATGGTAATTTTTGAGGTGAAATACTGTTGCAATGTTGGCAGATTCATATCATTGGTATCAAATTATTATTTTGGACATTTCCAAACAATTAGACAGAAATAAAAAATATTTATTCAACTGCCATTAATGTGTGGTTGAGTGAAATAAGCATAATTGTTCTATTATATCAGCAACTGAAAAACAGCTGGGAACAGGTGTTTTATCAGAAAAATACATTAAAAGCAAGCCTGGCCATGAAACTTTTAATAGGGGAGCAGTAAACAGCTATCCTAGTAATTTCAGTTGAGAAATTTGTAGATAAATAAGAATAGAAACAAATTAAAAGTTGATTTCAAGGAAAGCAATTTGCACTTTAGAGCAATTTAAGACAGCAATCTGTAGCCCACCTCTAGCATTTGAGAAGAGCCTGGAGGAGAGCAAGAGCTATGGCTCTCCTAAAATGACCAGGCCTGATAAACAAAGACTATTTTTCAGAGCAAGGCAGGCGACATCTGTCAGATAGGAAGATGTGGTTTGAATAATTGAAACATAATTGTATATAGACTGCACAAACATGTTTCATAGACAACAAATATTTGCACCTGTTCATGTCAGTTTATGAAGATCAACAGTGAGAGCTAATAAATATGCAAACTTGAGTTTTATTGCAATTAATGTTAGGACCTAATTTTGCTACTTAGGGGACTGAGCTCTTTTGGCATGTAATCTTATTTTCTATACCAAAGGTTTTGCAAAACTTTACATGTATCCATTTATTTTGTTCACGGCAGCTCAACTACAAGACTTGACTTTTGACTTTCAATACTTAGTCTTAATGGAGCTTAACATGTAATACAGATTTGATGACATTCATGGATCTCCAAGCATAAGGGTAATCTAGACCAGGCAAGTCTTTATGTAAGATAAGTCCAATTTGATTATGTGCTCAAAATCAATTATATGCAGAGGCAGAATTATGGGAGTTTGGAGGTGGCAATGCCAAATTTGGTATGACTCAGGACATTAACCTCAGAAGTAAAAAATTCTTGAGTTTGAAAATTGACAAAAAAGCCCACTCAACAAAAACTCTGGAAATTATCTACACCTGTCCTACTTCTCAAAAAGCTCAATTTCTTCTGTTATACATACAGTATCACAGTCAAAAAGAAGAGTTTGTCAGCTGATGCTATAAACAGTAAGGAGACGGTTTGAACAGGCCTTATACAACATTAATTCAGCTTCATTAGATAGCAGCTGACTGAGACATCCATTATAATTGTGTTATGCTAACAATGGTCAAAGATGGCATGTTCATTGTTGGGTTACTATCAATTGAATAAGACTATACTGATAACATTTACAGTGTATTGTGATTTTATCAAGTCATTGGGAAAGGTTGCTAAGACAACAGATTCTGTTCGCTTAGTCTCCTAGAGTTCATGATAACAACTGTTTGACATGCAATGAACATAAGATTGTTTCACCATTTTAACTAGAAAGTGCAACTTAGCCCTGTCCCAGGACAAACTTGTGAATTTCAAAAAGAACTTGTAATGTTGTCCAGTTATTAAATGTTGTGCAACCACTGAATAGAACAACATTATATTTTGAATAAATACAGAAAACAAAATGGTAAAATAAATAGCAAGTCAGAATTTTTTAGACTTGATCTGCCTGAAGAGAACTATATTTTTAATGTCTTTGACAAAAGTGCTCTAGAATAAATACACTTCGACTTTTTGATCCTTCTTTCAAAATATATATTAATTTCAATAAATGAAGATTTTCTGTTTGCATAAATATTGAAGTAATCAAAAATCCTTCTTGTTAACCATGTAGAACATACTTAATTATTTTTATTCGCAAACCAGACATCTGCTACTTACTAAAAGCAAAATAAAAGTTCTGAGAAACAAAAACTTCTGAGAAACACAGCATAATAAAACAGAAATATTACTGTGAATTGTCATTGAAAAAGTATAAGTTTTGTTCCTCACAAAAAGCGGCCAAACAATAAATACTCCAAGATTTTGTAGTGGGAGAATCATTTTGGTCCCCATTATTATATGACCCATCCAATGCAATAAAATCAAAATTGAGGGGCTAAGCGTAAAAATTGAGCTTCTTGGAAGCTTCTTGTCAGATTTGCTTCCAGAGTGATTACATAAGCCCATTATGATCTTACTGAAGAAATAGTTAGGTTAATTAAACTATTCAAAATACTTACAATAAAACATATGAATGTGAATGTTGTTTGGGGATATCAGTATTTTCAACAGCTAGGCTTTGACAGAAAATGAATCAGTTTTTAAAAGGAAATAAGTCATAATACTGTTGAAAGGAAACACAATCAAGAAAGGGATGTTTTCCTAAAGGGACTTGTCATCTTGTTCTTCTATTGACAGAACCCATGCGGTTCTGAAATCGCGTTCCTGAATGAAACACACGCCTGCTATATTTATTGCAACGAAATATTCTGGCGTTCACCAGTGGCGAGGTGGTGACACGAAATATTTCACTTCCTTTTTTAACTGTGCGGGTTAGCAACAATTCTGAAATAATTTGAAAGAGTCTCTGCAACAACATATACTTTCGCAATTAAGAGACTGATATTTAATCCCATCCATTTATGGAGCGCTGTTCAGCTCCTGGCTGAATATTTGTAATCGACACTTCGTCGAAAGTAAACAAGTTTCATTACGAAAAACGCGATGAAGATGTTAGGCAATCTTCGTGTCATGATGATCAGTCACTGATCTAAACGGGGTGTGTGACTTGGAAGGGCTAGTTTGAGTTAGCTTGTGTTTAGGCACCAATTTAAACAACATGTGTGATCCCGAGTAAGTTGACTGACTGGAAAGATACTTTGTTTCTAACTTGTCTGTTGTCAGGAGACATGTGGAAAATGAAGCTTGGCAACTAGCGTAGATGGCAACATTTCAAATCAAATTGTAGATACTTTAAAACGAAAAAAGGAATACCTCAACTTCAATAGACAGTTCGGTTCCATCAAGGAGACAAACTTCACAAACATATACATTTTTGGACTTCTTTTTCTCCTGCTTTTGTCTTCGTTTGGCATCGGCCTTGCTGGATTTCGTTTCTGCAGGAATGCTATTCGGAGAATCTGTGTTGTTCGTGGGATTAATGCCTTGATCCTCAGCCATTTTTAATGTCATCTACTTAATACATTTTCAAATTAGTTAATATTTAAAGCGAAATAATTGTCGTTGTGTTTTCCTTCGGTGAAAGCTCATGGGCGTGCGAATGCAACCTCAGCCTGGTACTAAATTCCATTGATCCAATCAAATCACAGAGTTGGGAGAATAGACCAATAGCATTCGTTTCTATTGTTAATTGGACAATTGAAGATGCGACCAAAAATAATGGATGCTCCTGCACAGAAGCAGTCTCATGGGAGAGCGTAATCAGTGAGTACAGCAAAACCAGTTGGAAATCTCCAAAATCTCATTGAGGCCTTGAGGCAAGGACTGCTAAAATCTCTTTTAAAGTTTTCTATTTTGACCACATAAGCAGAAAGAACACGTTGAAATCAGGGCTGTAGAAAGGGAAGATGCCCAGCCTCTTGTTTTTCTGAGTAACTCTAAATTATCATGGCTAATTTTCTGCCAGGATAAAATCTTTGATTGGACCGAAATTACTTTTTAACATTTGCACTCATGTGTGACCCCAATAGCCCTCTTGATCACTGAAAACTCAATAAATGCTGGCAAAATTTCCCACTTTAAATTCTTTATTTTTAAGGTTTTTCTTCTCAAATAACAGGTAGAGATCGGAAGATGATTCAACTCTAGAAAAAATTTGAAAGGTAAAGAGATATTGATATTAAGGAACCATGCAAACGAAAACAACTGAACTAAAACGTTCATTTTGTATACAATATAGAGAAAGCTGTAAGGCCCCCTCTACGTTCAACATGAGAGAGAGAAAGACGCTTTGATTCGATCGCATTACTTTCGATCCAAACCTGGATATAAGTCTTCAGCTGACCTTTGGTCATTATCTGACGTTTATACTCTAATGTGTGAGACGAAAGTATTTAAGTATTGTATTGTATTGTATTGTAGATTATTTAATGTTAGTTTCTACAATAGTGAATATACACTAATTAAGACTAACATGAAGCAATTTCAAGGGTTGCATAAGACAGTTCATTTACTGCAAAACGAGCATGCGCACTTGTTTTCAAGGAACCAAGTTTTGATCAAATTCTTAGTTTGTCTAGTATTTTGTGCTGTCTTTATTGATTCTGGGAGTGAATTCCAGTTTTTAGGCCTTTGAAAACTTAATGATCTGATACCATTATTGGTGGTTCTGGCTTTTGGAATGTCAAGAGGGTTTTTGAGTCGAAGGTTATGACCTGTTGTTTTGGGTACAAAACAGTCTTTCATGAAAACAGGATTAAGGTTGTTAAGTGTTTTACAAACTTCGAGCTCTAAAATTCTAACTGATTGAACATGTATGGTAGTTTCTTCTGAGTTAGCAAGTAAATCTTTGTAAGAAGATGAATAGTCAGAATAGGCTAGTTTTAATGCCCTCTCGTTAATTTTCTCTAGCTTATCCTGACTTCCTTTACCACATAGCATCCATATCAATGGACAATAATTGAAGTGACATAGTATAAATCAATTCATAATTATCTTTTATTCTCTGTCGCCCATAAATCTTGCCAGTCTTTGTAAAGAATTTAACTGTTTAGTTGCTTTTTTACAGATCTTATCGATATGAGCGTCAACCTTAAGTTTTCATCAATCTGAACACCAAGCAAAGTAACGTTATTCTCTATTTTAATTGCAAATTCTTGGTCAATTTCAAACTCATTTATCCATTTATCTTTGCTGCCGATTGTGATAGCTAAAAATTTAGAGGGATTAACAATCATTTCATTAGATTTAAACCAATGAAGACATTTTTTAGTGTTAATTTTTACAAGTTGTAATAGTTCATCAGTATTTGCTGCAGTGACAGTGACAGAAAGTATGGTATGTTTCCGCTATTTCGTTCCATCTTCAAATTTTGCGGTACCAAAAACTTATTTCACAGATTTCCAGAGATATGGCGCAAAGACAGAGATACAATTTTTACTCTGGTGGGAGAGGGGGGCCTTTATTTCCATATCCAAGATATTGCCATTATGATATGTAATACTAATATACGACTTAAAGTGACCATAACTTTCCTTACATGAAAGAATCGAAAATAATGGACCTGTTCCATGATCTTCGAAAAAGATAAATTAAGGACTTCATATGTAAAATAAATAACATATGTATTAAGAAACTCTTAAGAACCAACGAGTGCTGAAAATCACTGCAGCATTAAGAGACTGGAGTGCTGTCAGCAATCAACGTTTCCTTCTAGTAGCAAATATTGTGTTCAATGAAGGACAACATGTGAAAAACCTTGAGCTTTCTAGCCACATTGCCAAAAGCGTTCTCTTAACGACCGAAAGCCTAAACTTGCTTCAAAAGCCTAAATCTCAGTTTGTATATTACAACCACGTAGCTGCAGATGTCGGCTATGGGGGGGGGGGGCAAACTCGAGCAAGAACCATACCTGAGGGTGGCAGGCTTTAAAACAAGAAAACAGATATATATCAAACAGATATATTTGGACTAAATCAAGGTCATGGAATTATAAATATGTCAAATTTTCAAAATATCGTTTGGAAAAACTGTAGCCAGAGAGGGCAAGTTGTTTTCAAAATTTTCATTTAGGGGGGCACAGCCCAGCCCCCCTTCTGTAGCTTCGTGGCTGGTATACTAACACCGAAATACATTTCATCCCTTTCGCCTACCAAGAATTCTCCAAAAGCAGGCTTTGAAGAAGAAAGCTATCCTACTAACATTCATTTTCTCAGCATAGTGACAAGGTCAAGTCAAATTGAGGAGAGGGAGGGCAGAGTACAGTAAACATGACGGTTCCTTAACTGTAAGCCAGAGAAACGCAGATAAATGTTGTCTATCGCTGCAGTAGTTTTAAGGAAGGCCATGTAAAACCTCACAATAGCATATAAAGTAAAAATAAATTACTGTTGTGCTTGAACTCTTCTTTTTCTTGACAAAGAATAAAGACCAAACCATAGAATATATTACTTCAATTCCATTTCTAGGAAATCTTAGCCTGAAGTGAAGGGAAACCGTTGCTTAAAACATAGAAGGAAAATTTTGAGAATGGTAAAAAGTGCAAATAATCTTCTGGAGGAAGGCTGAAGCGTTTACTGAACTATGAAGGAGGGAAGGGTCGACTGAAGTCAAGGAATCAATGGGACAAAGTGCAAGGATACAGAGGAACAACAAAGCAATGTTAAGAAAAAAGCTAAATTTTTCGATGGCAGGGGACAACTGCCCTGGGCGTTGGCCTTGAGTGCAATCAGTAGCCGATGAAACACCTCTTCTGAAAAACTCTGGGAAACATGGAGAGGGGGAGCCATTGCCCAATAAGAGTATCCAATTGCTCTTTCATAAAGCACTACAAACCATAGCAAAAAAGTTTGTCAAATAAGAAAGCTTTGTAGCAAGTGGTGGCGCTAGAAATTCTCCGACGGAGGGGCTTGACCTTCCGACAGGGGGGCTAGGCAATCGGAGTGAAAACATGGAATCCCTGGAGTCGCACAAACATAGAGATTATTACAGAACATGAATTCAACAAACATGAAAGAGCAGCTCTTTAGAGCGGGATTATTATTTTTTGTGGGGGACTCGCTTTTTTAAGAAAAGGTCCCTAAAAGAGAAAAGACATATAAAGAAAGTTTTTTGTAGATCTTTTTCCGTGATTTTTCAATATTCCTAACGCTCTAAACTTTCCTTGGTAAAAAAAAAGACGTCATTTCATCATTAAACAGAATAAGGACCAATTTCACTTAGGTATGTCGAGTCCTTGCTAGCTTTGCAGACGCGCATGTCGCAATACGCGGGTGGGGGGGGGGGGGTATGTCACAAATGTTTCCCAAAGTGTTGGTTATTAGATCTCCAATGTTTTTAGGTCTTTTTAATGATAGTATAGAGAGCTGTTTCCATAAGTGTTTTAGTTTTTTATGTTTTGAAATTACGTCCCAGTGGTCTTTAAGAATTTTACTTATATTGATAGTCCGATTGCCGTTTGGTATGCCGAAAGAGAGGGCTGAGTTGAGTTTCCCGATATGGTGTGTAAATTACTTGGGAGTTACCTGTTTTTACATTTATACTCAGTGGGAGTTCCATAATCGTAACCGGCATTCCTTCTTTTTCTCAAAAACTTTACAAACGGTAGCAAGATCTTGCTCAGACAAAATTATAGATTGTCTTCGTATATCTTCCGACGGGTGGGCTACGCAGCTCCAACGGGGTAATGTAGCCCCTTGCCCCCCTCTGGCGCCCCCACTGTTCGTAGCGTTTTACTCCTACGTTAAACCATATAATACTGCTACTGTCATACATCATCTGCACTATGAATATAAAATAACTATGAATTTAAGTAAATTGTGCAAGGAATCAATTATAGATTATTAATAAATGACGTTTCAAGCATAGTCCGTTATCACTTTTTTTAATTCGATATTGAAAGTTACAAACAGATTGCCTAAAATTATACCGAACGAAAACTGCTACACTCATTTTTTATAAGAAACTGGCTAAAAGAAACGTGTGCTGGACAGTCAGAAAAAATTAAGAAACTTCAGTGCTCCAAGCAAAGAAATTAAGAAACTATTAAATCGTGATAAAACTGAGAACAATAAAATTTTGTAAAATCCAAGAACAAGATTGCCCTGTTGGCCTAGAACTTAAGACACAAGGGATAAAAACATACTTCCCACGTCTAAATACAGCGTCAGAACGGAAGCGAATCTCTTGACGTAAAAAAAGGTCACGAACATTTCATAACATCATTCATGACATCATAATTAAGAAACTCTTAAATGAGTATTGAAATTTCCAGAACATTAAGAGACTGGAGTACTCAACATCGACCTTTGTTTCTTATAAAAAAATGAGTGTATTTTACATTAGAAGGACGGCCAGGAGGAGCTCTCCCCTCTAGCACTAGATATATACGTAGATCACAATCTTTAAAAACGATTTAATAAATAAATAAATTCTAACGAAAGAGAGAGAAGATCTAAATATTTTAAACATTGAGAGAGGGAGCCATTGCCCAATGAGAGTATCCAATTGCTCTTTTACATAGCACTACAATACTGGGTTAAACCATAGCAAAACCAATTTTGACAAAATACATAGAAAGCTTTGTAACGTTATACCCCTGCGTGAAACCACATTATACTGTTACTGTCACATATCATCTACTCTATGAACATGAAATAACAATGAATTTAAGTAAATTGCGCTAGGAATGAATTATAGATTATTAATAAAGGACGTTTCAAGCATAGTCCGTTATCACTTTTAATTCGATATTAAAAGTTACAAATAGAATTACCTAAAACTATACTGAACGAAAACAACTAAACTACATTACAAGGACGGTCAGGAAGAGCAATATACAGTGACTACCCCGTAGCAATAGACATATACGTAAATCACAATGTTAAAAACGATTTTGTAATTAAATAAACACAAAAGAAATATATAGAGATGAGATTTAAAAATTTTTATTCCTGCATTTTGTTCCAACTGTTTGGAGGCCTGGATATACTTCAGTGTTGCCGTAAGGATTTTTGCATTTAAATCAAATGGTAACTGTTTACGGCCATAAAGGATGACCTCTTAGTAACTCTTTATTTGAAAGATTTAACAAACCATGAGGCAACAATATCGCATGTACACTGTTGAGAAGATCACGTCTATTTACATAATAAGTATAGCAGAGCAGAAAATTGTGCTCCGTGTCCTCAACACCATCATTTGTTGGGGATATATAAAGTTAGCTAAAATAGAATGAAATCAAAATGTTTGTGAAATGAATTATTTAAGAAAATCAAAACAGCTTCAGGTTTTTGATTGAAAATATTGGCCATTTTATTGTTTGACACAAGATCGAAGCTTTTATAGTTTTCAGCCGATTTCATTTTGTTGGATAAACCATTCCATATTTGAGGCCCAGCGAACCAAAGACTGTTTGAACCAAAGGTTACTTTATCTGGTCTTATATTCATTAAATTGAATTTCTCGAATAATTGTGGGGAAATCTGAATACGAAGCATTTATAATTCAATGTAAATAGTTTTTGGAGCAAAACTTTCACGGAACAAAACTTTCCTGGCTATTGGAATAAATCATTATTTGACCACTGCAAGAAAATCTGAGTGAACGGTCATGTAACTTTTTAATATTCTAAAGCGGCTTAATGGAAAAAAATTTTAAAAAACGGTCAAAAGTTAGAGATTTGTTGCACTCGAATCTTTCTGATCCTTTTTTAACGACAAAGCATGAAACTTTTCACGGTTTGAAATCATTGCATGTTGTTTGAGCCACGTTGAAGCGACATTGGTTTTGTCCTCACAACCCCTGGCAAGTTCGGACATGGTTTTCGAAAAAGGAGCAAGTGTATCAGCATCGACATATTAATGAAGAGTTGCCTGCTTTAAAAAAAGAGATCATTTATAAAGTAGCTGAATAAAATGGGACCAAATACAGAGCCCTGAGGAACTCCTAATGCAGAATTTAAAAAGGTTCACTTGAATTCTTCTCCAGACACACTTCTTTTGACATTGTAAATGGAAATAGATAAGAACTATCGAACTTCATCAAAACCTATGCATTTACGTTGGACCCTACGGATTGCAGTCAAACGCTTGTTAGAGACATATGACATACCTTCTACAAAAAAGTATATTTCAAGTCTTCTACTAGATTTATCAACAAATATATGTATGCTTCGCTGTTAGCCGAGATAAAGACGAAGAGTTTTTTATGTCAAAAATTAAAACAAACCGCGAGCCCCTTATTTTGCCGGCTTCCTATTCTATTACCGTAGGACACATTAATCAAACATCACAGATATTTATTTCCTTTACGGTAATCATACTTTAAACAAAACATTCCTCCAAATGTTTTCAAATTTTATCTGAAGCTTGCATCTACGAAGCCAAAGCTCGACGCCTTTAAAATGGAAAGATCATTTTTTAATTTACGAGCTGAAGCTCTCTCGAGCAGAGAGACGTCGCCTATCTTTAAATACTCACAGTATTCAGAAAATAAACGAACTCTATATTACCATCAGTGATTACACAGCTCAAAGAGGTCTCTCCAAGGATTATGTTCCGCACAATATCTGAAAGGAATTTTGCCAACTTTGCTAATTTTTTCAACTGTTTCAAGGAAGGGTTTGCTTTAGAGTTCCACCTTTGAGTAATTTCCCTCATTCATCTAATTTTGTCCCTGTATATGCATTTATTTATCGAATCATTTGTGTGTTTCATTGTAAAAACTCGTTTTCATTATGGTACTCGTAATTGAGTAATTCGTTAGATGTTTATTTGACATTTACTACACTCTCTTTTTATAAAAACGATTTGCTAAGAACACGAGCCTCAAAATTGGGTCTTAAGTTAGGGACAGATTAAGAACAAGCCGAGGCTGAGCTACTGCAAAATGCAGTTTTGAACAACGTTTTATCTCATAAACGAGAATTTTAGACGTGTTTGGGTGCTTTTTCGGTGAATTTTCAAATTTGTCAGCAAAATAAGGCTGTCTCACTCAATATGTCAGCGAATGAGGCCTGAACTCTAGAGCGAAAAAGCTAGCTTACGCCTTATTAATTTAAGAGCAAATTAAGAACAATCTAGCCTCAGTTTTTCGAAAAAATTTAAAACAGCCAGCCTGAACTAAAATTGTTATAAGGGGACTTATTTCTTAAGTATACGAGGACTGGATTCATCTGATGTCAGACAGAAAAACTTAAACATTTTTATATGATTATTCTGTGCTCAGAGCCTCAGATTGCATTCATAACTTTAGATTATGTCCGGACACAACTATCTATGTTTTCTGTGCTTGCATTGTAGATTTAATGACGACTTAAAGTTAGATGTGTTATAAACGTGACAGGATTACGTAGCTGTGAACTGCGAGGGCTGACGAATCAAGAAAGAAGTTTCATATCCTGATTTGAAACTACAGCTTTCAATTTACTCGCTGCTTCGTTTTGCACTCAATATTAATGGTTTTCGGAAATTATAAAACCAAAAAGTTATTCTTAAACAAAACTATCATGAACGGATTTTTTACTTTAATTCATAACTTGCACGCAAATTGTTAGATGCATAGTATTGCATCTCCAAAAAAAGAGCCATACGAAGCGAAACGCAGTTTTTAGGGAACAAGGTTATCTCACTAATTCAACTAAAATATTAAACTTATCACAACACGTGTCTCTAAACTTTGAGAGCAAATAAGTCAGCTGTTAATGTTACGCTGCGTGTAGATATGTTCCTAAAGAATCGGTCCTGGGGAACTTCACTCCAATACATAGACGGCTGTACAGGGGTTGAACAAACTTAAAAACTGTGGACGCTTGAATATCAATAGGCAAAGGTCTGTTAATGGCAAAATGTATTTTCTGTTGGTCTAGAAATTTTAGGAATTGCGTATATTTTGCAGTGAAATCATTTTTAACAGCTGGAAGAATTTAGGTTGCAAAACAGGTAGAAATTTTAGGAATTGCGTATATTTTGCAGTGAAATCATTTTTAACAGCTGGAAGAATTTAGGTTGCAAAACAGGGCCTGCCAGGATATTGTGGCCCTTTAAATCATCCCAAGTCAAAGCAAACTCCCCACTCTCCCAGTTCACTACTCCCGGCCCATTTCTCAACAATGCACAACTATTACTTAATACACAACAAATTTAAGACTTTTCTCTTTCGTAAGCTAATAAATTAAAAGACAGAGATGGTTAAAATAGTTCTTAAAACTCTCCCACTAAAAATACAACGTCAACGCGCTTGATAAAGTTTTAAAATGGCAAACGCGTGACAATAATTTCCAAACACAAATGACGTATTAGTGATAGTATTAGACAGTTTTTGACATATTTATACGTGTTGCTAATCTTGGGCACTCCTGTTCATGTCTCTGGTCTCGGAATGTACGCATTGACTGTGTAAGAAGATCGGTCCTTTTTCTCTGACCTCAATATAACTTCGATTTTGTCAAAGATTTGAAGGGTTTGTTCTAGGCCTATCGTGGAACCAGCAGCTTCACCATCATTCGTCTTTTGTTTATTGATTGTTCCTTTTTCGTCCGCCTCTAACTCAGCCTCGTTTTCATCCTTCCAATAGATCTTCATCGTATCCTTGCTCTCTTTCGAGACTTTCCATTTGTGCAATGACAATGAATTGCAGTATATTCGCTTCACAAACCCAGAATGCAACAGCAGAACATCCACTGCACTGCCGAGCAGTCCTACAATAACAGCCGATTCACGAAGTTCTCCAGCTTCACGAATGTACGCATTGAAAAACAACAAAACACTTAGCTCTTGCACCTTCTTAGCCGAGGTCTTTTTGTCGTTGCAATGATCTGCAACCTTCTTAAGTTCTTGCACACCTTGTTTGACTTTCTGCTCCTGCAAAGCGGCTGTTAGCATTCTGTGGACTATAACATCTGGGTAGCGTCGAATTGGTGAGGTGAAGTGTGTGTATAATGGAACGTTGAGGGCATAGTGACGATATTGATTGACATCTTCAATTTCTCCTGCACAGAAATATTTCGCCAGTTGCATCGGCTTTGAACACAGAGAGACTAGCGCAAAATAGATCGCTTCTTTGTTAGGCAGATCAGAGTTCTTCAGTTTTTCAAGTGAAGAATTAAGATCTTTTGATGTTCCTGTTTCTAGCCCAATGTCACAACGTTTGCAAAGTGTGAGCAGGTCGTCTACCATTTTGGAATTGGGAAATGGGTGCCTTCGTAGCAGCGCATGCTCGGGCACTGACCTGACAAGGCGATGTGCCACGGCCATGTTAGCAAGGAGCATAAATTCTTCCACAAGGCGGTTGCTGTCTCTCGCAAGAAACATACCAAACCCATTCGGTAAGCCAGTCTCTAGATCCAATGTAAATGTCAACTTGGGCTGATTCAGAGCGAGAGCACCAGAGTCAAAGCGCCTTTTTCTCAAATGAAGAGACAGCTGGTACAAATTATGAACACAATGGTAAACATCAGTGAGTTTGCACGAGCCACCAATCTCTGGGAATTGCGTCCAGTCAAGTGAATTCGGATCATCTGTTTCTATCATCTGCTGGGCATGATCGTATGACAGCTTAGTGCATGATCGAATCACTGACCTCCCAAACCATTCCTCTAAAACTTTTCCATCTGGAGTTATTGTCCAAATAACGCTGTATGTAAGCTTATCTTCGCCTGGGTTCAAGCTGCAAAGATTTTCACACAAGGCTCGTGGTAACATAGGAACGACTTTCTGAACCAAGTAAACACTTGTAGCTCGGCTGGCTGCTGCGTTATCTAAAGCATTCCCTTCTTCAATGAAAAAACTAACATCAGCAATGTGTACTCCAACCTCAAAGTTACCATCCTCGTTTTGTTTAATTGACAAAGCATCATCGAGGTCTCTTGCTGTTGCAGGGTCGATTGTAAAGATGACGTCATGACGAAGATCTCGTCTCTTTGCATATTCTTCATCAGGAATTTTCCATGGGAACTCACCAGGCAAACAGGCAAGAACATCTTCGGGAAATGCTGAATCGTCTACGCTGTATTCAGCCAAGAAACCTTCAGTTTCTGGCACGATTTCCCCACTTGCACCTAGCTCCTTGATAAGCTTTCCAGAGGCCATCCCATTCGTACGCTTCCAGTCTGTGACCTCAGCCATGAAAAGAACATTTTCAAAGTCCTGTGGCCTAGTCAGAAAATCCTTAGGACAATCATTGAGAGATATCATCAGCCTTGGTAAGCGACTGTCCTGTGGAGACAATAATGCAAAGCCAAATGCATTATTTTTATACTGCTTCAGCATCCCAGCTAATTTTCGGCTGTGCTTCTTCTCCAATATGCGAACAACTCGCCCGCGCTTCTTGTCGGTTTTCTTTATGTTCTCTTCTGTTATCTGCAAGTTGCCAACTTCTAGGGCCAGCCGTCTTGCTATATCTTGTACCTCGCGTTTAAGCCCTTCTTCTTCTTCCATTTTCTCAACAGCGACGATATCCCCATGAAATGCTCTGTTTCTATGATTAAAACCTTCTATAAGGATGTCCCCATCTCCATCGGAAGACGTAATGTAAGCATTGCTGTAATTCCGTTGGCTGATTCTGAAAGTTCCTGCAATAACTGTTCCCTCTTTTATACTTTCCTCGACGCGTGCTAATGGCCAGTACTCATTACAGTTCATTTTTGGAATGCCACCTTTGCTTGGTGTTGTTTCGCTATGATAATTCCTTTTCTGGGACCTGCTTTTGCTCGATTTGCCTGAGTTACACATATCATCTGTTGGTGTTGATGATGCTTGTACAAAGGCTTCTAACCCAGGCGATCCTTTATTGCATGACGGGCTATCCAAACTTGGGTCAACTGAGGCTTTCGACAGGGGTGAATCATTGAGTCCGCTTTTGCTAACTTTTTTCTTCCTGGGCTTTCTCCGCTTTGACTTTCCCAGCTGTTTTCCTCCTAAATTTCCATCTAAGGGGGCTACGCCTATGATATGGTTCTCTACCAGCACACCTTCCAGGGACAGATCTGGCTGAAATGTCTGGCCTGCAATTTTACTGTCTGAATCCATGGCTGATAACTTTTGAGAATGAGCAACTGAATAATGCGAACAAAAGCTTTTGGACAACGACTTCCTTTTCTTGTTTTGCAATTCTAAAAGATTTTGCAGTAGAGCTAAATGCTTGAAGTATCTTTTACAGTGGACAGTCTTTCTCTGAAGTCTCTGAAGTGTTCTAACACAACAGACAGCTTTTTGATTCATTGATAATCACTGAATGAAATCTGAAATAGTAATAAAAATACCATTAGATGCAATAAAAATTAGATGATGATATTTTGTAACAAGAAAGATTATTGGCTTAATTCTGAGTTTTTGAAAAGTACAGGGAATAGAAAAAATGCCAATTTTTCTATAGTTTACTGACAAACTATGTTCCAACAGGACTTATATTTCTACCAGGGGAGGCATGGGTTCTGACACAGGTTGAAAAGTGGGGGGTCAAGGGAAAATCTAAAACCCATAACAAAATATTTTGAAAAAACTCTTTGGTTGGAAGCCCTGGGAGGGGAGCTCCAAAATGAAAGACAACAGAGTTTAAAAGATTTTGAATTTTGAATCATGAAATACCTCTAAATGTGCAAAATCAGTAAAATATGTATCACATTGGTTGAGATATGGCCACAAGAGCGCAGGCTCTCTCCCCATCAAAATTCTAGTGGAGGTATTTTCCTTCACCATGTTGTAACCTTCGCAGAACAAAATACAACAGTGACTTTTTGCCAATAAGTCTTAATTCATATTGGCTATATATTCTCTCTCCTTTACTTTGCATGACCCCCTGGTTGCAACTTCAAATGTGTATGATTTAAATTCGGATAATCAAGATTACTTTTTCCTTCTACTTGTTTCTCATGATCTAAAATGACTAAACTATAAGCAGAATTGCCAGGGCCATAATGAATTGATAGCATTCGTAACAAGTTAAAAAGGGGGTGAGCCCTTGAGCCCCTTTAAGTCTGTGCCTATGCAAACAAAGAAATCTTGCAGATTTTGTTAGGAGAGAAATTCGGTTGCTTGATTCTAAAAGCTCCAGCAATAGTTCTAAAAGCTCATATTATAGTCCCTCCACAATGCAAACATTAACGTAGTTTAAAAGATGTTAAAAGGACTTGCATTCTAAACCCAGAAGCCTAGGTGGGCTGACTACAGACCCAAGGGTCTGTGGTTTAAGTCCCTGGCATGACCAAACTTTCACCTAGAATGAGGAGAGTCGCCAGCTCTCTGCAATTCCAGGCATAGACATCACAAGGTGTGGTCACATCGAGAGGAAGGACCAGGACACTGTTTGATAAGCACAAGCTTCTCAGTGTCCTAAAAACTACCTTTGGATGTTAGGTAGAAACAAATAAAAATACAACAATAATTAATCCTGGTTTGCCTAGGGATGAAACTGGCCCAGGTTGTGCCTCATTTAATTTTAAAACATAATAGGAAATTGATCAGTGTAAACAGAACCTATGGCGAAATGCATGTGATGCACAGTTTTGTTGTTTTGATGGAAAAAAGCCAAATTGCGTTCATGCATACTAACCCAGGTGTGGCCCGGGCTGAACCTGCACATTGAAATGGATTTGCTCAACCAGAGGGAAAACAGGTTTAGATTAAGCTTACACTAAACAAACCAAACATGGTTGAGTTTTATCCTAGGGTCCTGATCATATGGCAACAAATCAGAGATGTGACATCAAGCAAGGTATTAATGTTAATAAATGCTGTCAATGAATATTGAAATTTCCAATTCATATTATTAACTCGCCATTCAGAACAAGTATGATTCTACAATGAGAGTTCCAGGATGATATTTTCTCATAAGCATTATCATCATTGACTCATTTCCTAACTTCATTACAAAACATGATTGAGCATACTGATTGGAAGACACTGAAAGTCACTGATGGTTGTTCGGTGCAAATTTTGGCTACCCCTGTGACTTGGGTTTATATGGTAGATATACATTTCTTTATCATTTATCATACTTTTAAAGTTTCACTATCAATATGACTCAAAATTACGAGAAATTTGCCACTACTTTCCTGGATGCCAATGTTGGGTCTTAACAGCCCCCTAGACCTCAGGTGCAATAGTCGAGTACCACAGGCACTGCTTTTGCTTTAAAAGAAGCATAGGAAGTTGAAAGAAAATGTTCAGGAAATCTTGAGGCTGGTTAATTTCTCCTGAAATCTAAGCCTATTAGAGATAGATCTCAGTGATAACATAACTTGAAAATGAATGGAATTGGGAAGAAAAACGACTGCAAAACTGATGCATCTTGATATGAAAGGCCTCTGTGTGAATAGAAAGATCTCACCATATAAATGGATACTTGGGTGCTAAAAAGAGCCCCTGATGCCTATCCCTGTTTTGCAGTAGTTGTCAATGTAGACTACTGCATAAACATTTACTGAAATTTTGCTACTCTCAGTATGGTCATCAACTTGCACAAAATTACAGTGGGCAGGCAATCACTAGCTGTAAGAGTATTGCATAGAAAAGCTCAGCATTGGAATGCACACTAAAATATTGCAAACCAAATTTTACATTTTCATTGTCCAGTATGGAAAGTTGGTTTCATTTGCAACAGTTGCGAAAATTTTCTATTGCAGTTGTGCATCAGGTCCCTAATCAGGTATGCACCAAATCACTTGATTTTTGAAAGTTCCACCGAAATCCTATTCACAGATCCCATATCTCATCTTTGATTATGCATCTCGCCATCTGCATAACTTTGTCAAAAATTTACCTTAGATTTGAAATCATCATGCATAAATTAGTCTGTATAGAAAAATTCATGTTGTTAGAACTTTTTGAAGATTTGTTGAAGATTTGTTTAATTTTGAAAACAGTGTGATTTGAGGCCTGTCTCTGCCTAATTTCAACATTAACTTTGTATTGTATTGTAGATTATTTAATGTTAGTTTCTACAATAGTGAATATACACTAATTAAGACTAACATGAAGCAATTTCAAGGATTGCATAAGAGAGTTCATTTACTGCAAAACGAGCATGCACACTGGTTTTCAAGGAACCAAGTTTTGATCAAATTCTTAGATTGTCTAGTATTTTGTGCTGTCTTTATTGATTCCTGAATAGTTCTCCTTCTTTGATCCTAAATAGTTCTCTACTTGTGATTTTGCTGCCCTGTGCATAGCAGTCTCTACTCTGACTGGGTCATAGTTTTATGCATAAATGATCTCAGGACCTTGGCCAGTATTGAAATTACAGCATTTATTGGTGTGCCCCACATGGATATCCTAATCATTTGCAAAAAAATTAAGAGCAATCTAGCCTGAAGCTTTGGAAAACATTAGAACAGCCAGCCTTAACATCAATTCAATGATTTTTATAAAACAAAGTGCCATTTTTCCAATCTTAACATACCAATCTTATCAAGTGTGCAATGATAATTTTTAAAAATTATCTTTAGTGTGCAGCTGCCATGTTTTTCATACTGGGATCTTGGCAAAAATTTTGTCAGGAAGCAATGCACATTGTTGCCGACCCCTTTGGCATTTTCCACTAGGGGCTTATTTGAGTTGAGTTGAGAACCTCCGAGTTGCATAACTGATATCAAACATTGTTATTATATAACAGAGTTGCTCAGGATATTTCATTTCATTTATTCTTCTTCAAGGTTGCTTTCTATTGCATTGCAAGTCATTCATATACTAACTGCCAATGTGCATAAAATTGCATTGAAAAAGATTAACAAAATGATAAAATTGCTGAATAAAACGTTAACAATAATACGTTTTTCTATCATTTTTATCTACAAAAAGACATTTTGAAAAACATAATGTTATTTGACTTCTAATTTTTCAAGTGCACAATATTTTATGACAGTTTCTATTTTGTCTAAATTTTGGAAATGACAGAAATTTTAAGCGCGCAAGTTCTTCATGTTCGCCATTTTTAAACAGGTTTTACTTCAGAGAAATGTTTCTTGAAGAAAGATATGATAAATGAATAATAACAAAAACGTGCTCTTCTCACCTTTCGAAAATGCGAAGTTGATTAAAAAAGCTGAACGACTGGAATACATGTAGGTACAATATATTATGCAACATCCTCGCAATCTTTTCACTTACAAAGGATTAGGCAAAGTTGCTACCAAGAATTCGTTTGAAAACGAGGCAATCTTCTTCGCAACGGTTACAAGGTATTACAAGGTCAGTGTCCAATACATGACGTCAAAGATTTCAAATCGAATTGTAATGGCAAAAGATTACATCATACTACGTACAACCGAAAATCGAAGCTCTTTTTCAACTTATGATGTAATATTGTGCGTTAGTGAAACTTCAAATAAATATACACACGTTTTACAACTAAGAATGCAGTCAATAGAACATTAAGACACAAAATCGCTCAAATTTAAGAATAATTTGAGCGATTAAAAAACCAAGCTTCATTTAGAATTAATTTTTTGTTTATTTGATTTTTTTTAGAAGCAAAACAAGTGCGAGTTTAACGCTATATGTTTTGAAATAGATGTATCCGGCCGTGAAGTCAATAAAACTCTACTGTGACTCAATTTCACCTTGTATTGCTTAAGAATGATTAAAAATTCAATAAGAATTTTAAAAAATTATAAATATTGAGGCTCAGCAAAAAAATCGGTATTCTCATCAAAAAGTGTGCACATCATACTACGTAATACCTAAAATTAAATCTCTTTTTGAACGTATGATGTAATTTTGTGTGTTGGTGGAACTTCAAATAAATGTATGTAGCTTCATATCTGTCAATCGTGGTGTTTGCCATAAGATTGTGCGTATGGAATCTTAAGTTTATTTATAAAACGATAATTGAGCCATAGAAAATCATATTCTCGTCATCCGTTATTTATTTGTTTTTGTATTGACTTGTACTGATTCAAAAGGATGCTTTCATCGAACCGCAGAGTGAAACCCAAAAAACAGAGTTGTATCAATTTTCCATGATCAATTTTATCAGAGACTACGCTCCTACTCGTACAAAAAACTCGTGACAACTCAACTTACTCAAGATACTCATCAATTCTATAACACAAAGGTAAATTACACAATAAATCAGTATGTTGACAGGGGTGTCACTTGAGGGGGGTATGGGGGGTGGTTCACCCCCCCCCCCACAACCACGAAAGTAGGACCTTTTCGCAGGGCAAAACTGATTTTTGCAGGGCAAATGTTTCCTACCGATACATACTACCAGTGACACAAGTAGAAATTGCCAGCGTGATCTTGGGATGGGTGGAATAGATTTCTAAATTTATTCTGACTTCCTTTTACCTTAAGTGCTACACCCATTTCTATGGTTGCTCCCTTGGTTGATATTTGTATCTTATTTAAAAACCATACTAAAAAAACAAGCACCGCTTGCAAGAAAACTAAGACACTGTAAAGGGGGCTATTTGGATCAAGGTTTGATGGAATAGTTTTGCATATTTGGGTCTAAATTTGCTTTGACTGTAACCAGAAGCATAACTTTAAGAAGAGCGTCGACTATATACGATTTTTATATCTATTTTTGTGGATGATATAGGGTCTATTGTATAAATTCATGTAGGTTTTCAAGCTTGTGTTTGCCAGATGAAGATTATGTCATCGATAAATCTTTTTCAAAATATTCGACTACGCCCCATCGGGGCATTGCTCAAGATATGTTGTTCTATTGTTGTCATGAATATGTTGGCATAATTTGGGGCAAAGGGTTTCCCCATTCCAGTGCCTTAAGAGAGGTTAATGAAATTTACCATTACACTCTTCTTTATAAGAGTCAGCAAATTGAAGTTCAGGCTGTTTGTTGCGAGGGGCATTTCACTCTTGCAAATAGCGTACGAGATTTTTCCTTAAACAAAAGGATTTCGGGGGATTTTTAGATAGAACAATAGGATTTTTACAAAACGTGGACGAGATTTTCTTGGAGTGATTTGCCCCTCGGGTTATTCTTACTTTTTTCGAAAATCTGAGGCTGAATTGTTCTTAATTTGTTCTTTAATTTATAGGGTATAAGCAGTGCGATTGCTAGCTTTGCGCTCTAGGGAGGTGTCCAGGCCTCATTTGCCAACAAAGTGCGTGAGAAAACCTTCATTTGCCACCATCCTTGAATATTCTCCCAAGAAGCATCTCAAGATGGCAACAACTCCTAGTTTTTGAGATCAAACGTTGTTCAAAGTTACATTTTACAATAGCTCAGCCTCAGCTTGTTCCTAATTTGTTCTCAACTTTTGACCAATTTTGAAGCTCGTGTTCTTATAAAAAGAGAGTGTAAAGGCAATATAATTATGTTTGAGAATAAAAATCACCATCTGTTGCATTTTATATGCAGCAGGGTAGCTTTTCCACGATGATTTTTGATGGCATTGAGGGAAGCTTTGATACCCTCATCTTGTGAGATGCTAGTGTGTATATCGGAAGTGTGTTGTAAAAAATTAGCGCATGCTCTTTGAGTCCAGAATGGAGAGTTGCCTCACTCCCCAAGGTTAGGCAAACACGTCGGTGAACTTTTGGACACACTAAGCAAGGACCTAAGCGGGAACAGCTCACCTTAAGAAGTATTTTAGTGTTACGGGAACTGAGGGCCAGTTCCAAGCATTTCAAATTTCTTTTGTAGGGAAAATATGCAGCAACCCCTCCCCCCCTCAACAAAAAATATGAAGTTTTTACAAAGTTTTTAATTTGACGAACGTCTTCCATTCTCCTATTTCAATATTTGGAATTTTAATTTATAAACAGTCACATAATTATAAAATATTGGAAATGAAGAGAAAGAGAAAGAGAGAAAAAACAAGAGCCTGAAACATAATTTTAGCCCAAAAATCTTGATCTAAAAATGGACTTTGGGCATTTTCAATGTGGGTCCATTCAGCAGTCTTTTGTAAAAAGAGCCGGAATACATGGGAGAAATGTTTTCAATAATATAATCATGGTTATATTTTAAAAGAATAGTATCGTGCAATGACATTTCACGCAGAACAATCTTCAGAAAATTTTCGAGCAAGAATTGTGTTGAAACCATAAGAGAACCTGACAGCCAAAATCATAAGTTGGGTTCAAACGCTCTAAAACTCTGTATTTTACCCCATCCATGTTTGTTGTACAACGCACCTCATATTCACATCACACATACAAAAGTTACAGTGCCCCTCGGTCTACTTTCTGTAAGTTTACTTTCACAACGAATTTGGGCTTAGCGGGTTAGCAATCTGAACTTTCATTTGAGAATATTTTGTCTGATAACAGGACTAACAGTGTAAAGAACAAACCATAGCTTTTTAAAAATTCATTTGATCGAAAAGCACAGATTAGTTATCTTTAATGTTTTATTGTACATGTAGGCAGCTTAGTTTTCATTCAATAAGAATTTTCTCACACGCATGCCTTTTATGTCTAAAATTGACTTGATGACGGGCTATGCTCGAAACGTCGTTATTTATTTTTAAAAAAAATTTTCCTGGTACAATTTACTTACATTGATCGTTATTAAAGCATCATATTGTACCGTACCCATTTTAGTATATAAATGGAATCCCCTCGGTCTAAGCAATTAACAGGGAACCTGAGCGGACCGACACTGACACATAATTACGTAGCTTTTGCTATAGGTGCTTTGTTATTTTAACATATTTTTACTGTTGATTAGCTGGGATTGAAGTAAAACTCTATCTGTTATTCTTGTTTATTACTTGTAGTTAAACTCAGAGATTTTGTCGCACTGCTCAGAACCAAAGACTGTAGATTTAAAGAGAGCAATTTATAGCTCTGCATTTAGATTTTTCGTAAGCAAGAGTGATGTCATAAAATGTATGGAGGGGGCTGTACTGCAGGCAACTTATAAAAACCACAACCACATCCAGACCAGCGACCACACCCAATATGCCGACGTTTGTGCTAAATATTATCTGTTGTGTATATGAATGCATTTAACTAGTCGCTTACTCAAAAAGATTGATAAGAAATTGCTCATTCACAGAAAATCTACAGTATGATAAAGGGTTACAGACTTCATCCAACCAAACATGGGCTCGCTTGTTAAAGGAGGCTGAGCCCCGCAAAATCTCCCTGAATTTTTAAAAAGGGTTGAGCGTTGAGCCCATGGGGCCCCTTCGCAGTTTCTCTTGGTCTTCAGATTTAAGCAGCGACGGTTGTTTCACAAGAAAGTTGATAGCAGAATGCATTTCGCCTCGTTTCTTTATCGTTCAACTCTAGATACTTTCGCAATTTTCAAGATCTAGCAGCTGAGATGTTGATAATCCTTACATTTTCAAGGCTTTTAGGAGAAAATATCCAATAAACTCTACTTTCAAAAGATTCTGAATACAGTGCGTTGTTTTTGTAGATTGATAGCAGATGTCATGGTCTTACTTTACTCCTGACGCATGACAAGACCAGTAGAACAATCTGATAAAGCTTTCAAAGAAAATTAAGAAGTTGTTGGGATTATAATTTCAAACATGGTAGACTTTTGTAAGCAGCATTGATCATGTAGAGAACAAGCAGGGTTGTAGCTTTGGGGGGGGGGGCGTAAGCAGGGCTGTAGCTTTGGGGGGGGGCGTGTGGTGTGTGACACTTCCTTTTCGAGTAAAATTCTTTGCGAAAATGTGGAGTTTTCTTGCATCTAAGGATTCTTCTTCAGTGAATTTATGAACTATAAAAAGGATCAAAAGGTTGACTTGCCCAATTGCCGGCAAATTGGATCTTGAAAACCCTCTTCGGCATAAAAGCCAGAGACAACTCTGAAAACAATGAAACCTGTAGTGCCTTTTGTAAGACAAAGACATGGAAACAAGAAATATTAGACGTAATAGATTGTGATACACACAGGAGAGACTAGACAGACTTTCTAAGATGATCTTTGAAAATGCTTTTTGTTATAGAATTCTTGAAGTATGAAGAAGGTATTCGGAAGATTGTAGGGATAACCTGTTGTTACTTTGCTTTGTTAAGCCACGGCCAAAGTTTTAGTTTAACAATAAATTTCATGGAGTTTGGATTCCTTAATGAGAGTTAGAAGGAGAATACAGCTGCAGTTCTTGGAACTGTGATGAGATCTGAAGGAATCGAAAACGCAGTGTTAACTGGAAAAATAGAGTGTAAAGAATTAGAGGAAGACAAAGGTAGAAGTACATTACGAGATTTGAAACGGACCTCAATACTGGCAGAAGAGATTTAAATATTTTAACTTTGTTAAGAGATAGAGAGTGACAGAAAACCATGATCGCAAACGTCCTTGGGGGACAGAATAAGAACAATGTCAGTAAAAGTAGGGGGCATCAGTCCCCCAAGCCTCCCCAGAGCCTTTGCCACAGGTACCAACTTTAATGCTTGCATTACGATTTTATATGCGACCATAACCTGCCGGAAACTTTGACAGCTCCTGTTTACGAAATAGCTCGCTCGCTATGTTAGAAATCTTTCATCTCAAAATTTTTCACACCAGGCTCCTTAAAAATAATTAATTTCACTAGAACCACTTGTTTTGAGAAGAATTTCTTTTTTCCATTTTCTTTAATTTCAGCTCAACATCCAGATTGTCTTAGCCAACTCTGTTTAGAAAATCAAATTTGCATTGTCTTGATGTTTGCAATCAAATCGCTATCCTTAATGAACAATACTCTCAAAAATACGATACAGACCATTTGCAACTCTTTCCATTGACTAAACATAACCCAAACCAGACAAGGAAATCTAGCTATATTTGCACAGTCCCTTTTTTAAGAACGAACTGCTTTTATGTGACAAATAGTATATACCATTTAATCAAATCTATGAACAAGGCGAAAACAACGAAAATCAATAAGCAAAACTCGATTCTTTCACTTGTTACACTATATTTTGGGTTAGTACTTTATGACCCATTCGACTCTACCAACACAGAATAAAAATGCTGCGAAGGAGGAGAGGCGTGTCATGTCAACGACAGTGAGAGAACTGTTGGTGAAACTGGAAAGTGTTGTCGTCTCATTTCTAGATCATCGTAATTTCGCTAGATAGTGGGAGAAAATGGAGAGTGGAACTCAAGGACAGCAAACTTTTGTTCAGCGATGTTGCAACCTTGGCTATTTTAGGACAGCACTGGGTATTTTTAAATGCCTAGAGCTTCTTGTTGTTGTGTTAGGCCTGATTTTCATGGCAAGTGTCTCCGCCGTCAATGCAACTGCAATCAAATTTTTTATTGTTGTAACCACAGCCAGTAAGTATAAACACTTTATTATCTACCAACGTCTGTTCAGTCGAGGTTGATGAAAATGAACAATAACTGCTCATTTGCTTCTATATGCTGTTATAGCATCTGCGTTGTTTTGCAAGCCTGCACAGTTTTGATACAGAAGGTGGCCACCGTTGGAGATCGACTCTCCGGCTCTCCGGCCTATCCACAGGGGCGCAACATATTTCATAGGGTCAATATTTCTAATATTGAGTACCCTTTTAATCTTCAATTGATTTTCGACATCAATATTAGCTTGAAATGGCCGCAACAAGAGTTGGCGGGGAAACCAAATCTTCAAAGATGTGTCAAAAATGACGTCAAAACCTGTTTTTACAAAAATGCCTAGTCTAGGTTTAAATGTTTCTAATTTTATAGTATAAGGAAATGTTTATGAATATTACGATTAAATTAGATGTAAAAATGAAAAAAACAGCTTTACACTGGTACAAAAAGTAACTACTGGGTTGATAAAGCAGCCGAGTGATCTTTTCATAAGATAAATTTTCAAAATAATTGGAAAGAGTTTTTATGACAATAAATATTCTTGGTATGGCTATAATTACAGTTGTCTTCATTTACTGATACCAAACTTTTTGTGTTTTCAGCAATGATATTTCTGTTTGTTCACATAATCTTGAATGTGATGAATCTGTACCATCGGATGCCGCTGCTCCTGATTGCTAGTTTTACACAGATGATTTTGTGTTCCCTGGCAGCACTTCTCTTGCTTATATGTTCTGCAATCACGCTAAACAAATACAGTGAATGGGAGGTGCATGCTGGCTCTGTTCTCGGTCTCATTGCAATGGGCTTATTCATTCTTGAAGCAATCTACAATTTTATTCAGCATAAGCGGGGCCAACCAAAAGATGCAGATCAAGAGAGAGTTGGAGATGAGAAGAAAAAAGACACTGAGCAACCACCAAGCTACTAATCTTCTAAGTTTTATCTTTGCTTCAAACTAACTGATGCAGAAAAGTTTGCTTACGAGTCTTTAAATTTTGTATGGGTGCTGGCTTTTTGAGAAAATAGCTTAAAGGCTCTTATGCAAATATATATATTTTTAAAACCAACCTACTATCAAACTGCATGAAACTACCAAATACAGTGCATTTTACTTTGTGCAAGAGCCTTTAATATTTATATTAAATTAATATTCAAGATGTATTTATATATATATCAAGTACTCAACCCTTGTAATGCAGGTAAACATAAACTTAAAAGCTGACTTGGATACACTCCTGGTCTGCTTTTCTGCACCACATTATCATTCTCGCATTTTTGATGTAAGCTAAAAGCCAAATAATTGGTAAACCTACAATTCAAAACTTAATACTTCTTGATCAATGTTTTTTCTTCTGCGTTTAGCAAAATAGTGACTTATTGGAACCTTGTATTAAAGGTAATTTTGTCCATATAAAAGGACTGCGTATACCCAACTTGTCAAGCCACCCATCAAAATAACAGTTTGCGATTGGTTAGTATTCTTGCGATGCAAAACTGTTCACATGAAAAGCTAACTTCGCAGCAGGATAGATAAACAGAACAACCGTAATGGCTGGGACGATGACATGAAAAATCACATGTTTCTAAAAACCCCCGTTTTGGACGATGACATGGACACATTACCTTCAAGTTTGGTAACTTTTCCCCGGGCTATATTATGGTCAACAAAAAAGCCAGTTGAACCCATTTTGCCTACCTACAGAGTCGCCTAAGAGTCTTCTCAAATGTGCAAAACCTGGCAGTCTATTGGCAGTTAGGATCCTAAATTAACTTTTGATGTGAAATTGATTCCCTTTATTCCATGTTGCAAGGAAAAAACCACCATGTCTTTTAAAACGATTGAACAAAAATTATAATTGATACTCAAGGTTTTATTCTTACCATAATTTTATGATGGTCATTCAAAACTTCTAACTTTCTCTTCCATTTTTAGAGAAAACTATTTCCCTATGTCTAATTGCTCAGTCAGCATATTTTCTTTTTCAATCTTTTAATACACGTCTGGCTATCTTTGTGGAACAATAGACTTGCTGTCAGTGTTTTTGTTTCCCAGTTTTGTGCTCCTAAAAACTGGCTTAGTTGTTAGATTGATAAACTGAAATAAAGACATTTTTCTGTCCATTCTAGATAGTTCAGTTAACAATGCCACAGTGGTGAAAATTCAGGCTTGAGCCCCCGTGCATCCAACATTTCTGCCACTGTAATGTCTTAACAAAAATCTTCCTTGTAAAAAGAAAACATTCTGAAAGTCAGCTGCATGATTTTTCTAAATTATAAATATATTTATATATGTAGATCTTTTTGATGATCATTTTTCTGAGCTTTCTATTGTTAGAAAGGCACCTTGCCACTAACAAAACTTTTCCGTGAAAATTATTTCATTTTAGGAAAGCTCACACCCGACATGACTTCTTTGCTTTTTGTTGTAAGTGGGTACATATGGTGTTTTCTTATTAACTATCTAATAGAGAAAAGTTTGATTCAAAACTATTTGTAAATCATTTGAAACATGGTTTATTTCTTTGAATCATTTTCCCTTCTTTTGCTGACGACATAATTACCTTTGTTTATTGTCTAAGTCTTCAATGCTGACTGGTTATTTTGATAGAATATTATATCTTTCCATTTGTGTCCAGTCTTGTAATGGTATATGTAAGAAATAAATGAAGGCAAATGCATTTTTGTCTTGGGATCAATTTCAAGTACCCATTTTCTGAGTTTTGTGAAGTGAGGCCTGGTTCTTGAAAATGTTAGGCAACTTATCCCATAACTTGTTACATGATTAGCCTTCAATGCCTTTTACCCTGTACTGACAATAACGATTAACAGTAAACAAATAAAAATATTCAGTATCAAAAGTAAAGTCACTTGCTCATATCTCATTTGAAATTTTGGATGAAACCGTAAACTTTACATTAAACAGCAGAGTTTCATGGCAAGGACATGAATCAAATGATCCTCATCAGGTAAAAAGGTTGAGAAAGTGATTAACAATTGATATGAAAGTTTTTGTTTTCCTCAAGAACCAAAATCTTCTATGCTAAACAGAAAAAAAAATACGTGATACATTTTCATACATATTCAGTTTATTGTCACTCACAATAATGTAGTTTGTAATCAATTAATGGTAATAATCAAACATCGTTTGAATGGGACTGCCCTTGAGCTAATACAATCAGCTCCTATTATTAAGGCAATTTGTTTAAATGTGCTAAATAATAAACCCTAGCATGTCAGATATTTGTGAAATTTATAACTCAAAACTCTAATGAATCATTATGCATAATTAATCAATGAATAATTTTTAGGCATCATTCTCCTCACATAATACTGGAAAAGGAAGGAAGGATGCCAGCCTTATTGTAATAATCACAGAGGTATGCATAAAAAGGGTATCTAAAGCCATTGTTTACACAAAACAAACTTACCTGGGTTTGCCCCAGACGAAAACTAACCAAGGTTATATTTTTGTAATGTAAACGCAAACCCAGGCTTGCCCCAGATTAGTCAACCCATCTTGAAAGGTGGGTTTGCCCTAGGTCAAACCTGGGTTAGATTTGATAAAGTGAAGTGTACACTAGTCCTGGGGCCAACCTAGGTTAGTTTCTTCATGATGCATGTGCAGTAATAGAAATGGTGCAAAATGCAAAACAAAGCAAAGCATGAATGCGAAGTCTTTTCATTGTACAAAGCCTGCACTCATTTTTAAAGTTGATTTATTGTATTCTGAAAAGTTCACAAAGAATATACATGTTGATTGCGGCAATTTGTTTATCCTCACTTTCAAGATTTTGTGCTACACATGCATCGTTATCAAACTAACCCAGGTTTGCCCTTGATACCTGTAACCTAGGGAAGGGTGCTTATGTCCAGCCTCTTCCTCTATTTGAGGTTAGACAATTTTCTTAAACTTTAAACTGACTTATAAAGCATTGGTTTTAATTTGATTTTTATCCTAAAATTTTCATTTTTTTACCAAGAGACAACAGGATCAATAAAAGATTTATAAAAGAATTTGATTGTGAATGGTGATCAATACAGACTTTGCAACATATAAGTTTTCTACATAATATATGAATAAGAAAATGATTTTGGTAAATTTTTCTATATTTTATGAATAATAAACTAATTTTTGTAAAGAACATGACTGTTCTGAGTTGCAAAGAATATTATATGCTTTGTAAGCAGAAGTATTGCACCGTTGGTGAAATCTGGGTTTGGTTATCAGGCTTCTAAATGGCAGTACTGATAAAATTTTTTCTACCTATAAAAGCAATTCAAAAGCTATTGAATTGTTTATAAATTTCATCATGTTGTGTTCAATAAAGCTTGTTTGAAACCCTTTTTATTAAATTTTTGTAAGCTTCACAGAAGTTTTGAAGCTTTAAATCTGTCTTTGAAAAGTAACATTCAAATCTTTGAAAAGAATATTTTTTTCGAAATTCAAACTGACTTCATAACTTATTTTGCTCCGTGCTGCCAAACTGATGCCTAAAGATTTAACAAAGGTGTTTAACATTTCAATGACCGTGTTACAGTGCTGTAGCCACTTATCACCAATCAATGTTGAACTGTGTAATACTATTGCTCACCAAGTATATGTTTGAAAATCAATAACAAAAATCGGGAACACAAAGAATTACAATAATGTGAAAGCAGTCACCTATTTTTTAAAACAATTCTCCAAATCATTGTCCTAAAAATCCTTGAAAATTTGCACAAGTACTTGTTATTGTAAGGAAGTTCAATCTTCTAAGAACCTTGTTATAAGTGTGGCTAGCTTTCGTGGCCTCTCTAATGCTATACTGTGTCCACAATCATCCAAAATTTCAATCTGGCTTTCAGGATGTATATCTCTAATGACCTCAGTAGCTGAAACATCAAGGGCCTGGGAAGGAAAAGCAAGCATGCACTTTTGTTAAACTAAAATTAGCAATCTAGCATAGTGATAATGAAAGAAAGTCATGCATCTCAATTACAAAAGAAAAATAAACTTTTTCAATTCAACCATTTTACCACTGTAGAATGCTGCAATCGGGGCTCTTACATAAAAAGTAATTTGCTCACAGATAAGTAAAGTATTTGTTGCTTCCTTTTCCATACTCCAATTTGGGACAGATAAAACAAGGCATTGTTTGGTAACTTTTATTTGGTCGTAATTGAAATCCTAATGTACACTTACGTTCAAAAAGTATTGGGACACACTTCGAAACTTCGAAGACATTTTATGCAACAAATTCGGAAAGACTTTTTTAAAATCTTTCTCATTAAAAAAGTACGGCAGTCATTTCCATGAAATTTTCACAAGACATTGTTGATATTTTGAAGCCTTTTATGTACGCCAAAAAATTAAAAAATCATCGACCATAAAATTTATATAGGTCTCGAGATGAAAACATGGAAGCTCTGAAAACTCAAGAACTGAGTAAAGAGAAGCGTATAAAAATTGCTTTCTACTGAAATAAAGCAAATGGATTTCACGACATTGCATCAATTGTCAGCTGCTCATTGAGTGCAGCTTTTCTGGTGTGTAAAAAGTTTTTCGGTACAAGAACAGTAAAAAATTTACCAAGGGTTGGCAGACCGAAGAAGTTTACGATGCCGAGGGACGACAGTTCTTTACTGATGGAACTGCGAAGTAATAGGTTTGAATCCTTACCAGACATCATGTTGTCATGTAAAAAGAAGCTAAATAATGGAACATAAGCAAAAACATGGCTATAAAGATATGAAAAATACAAATTTTCCAGCGTTATAAGAAAAACAAATGCTCTCTCAAAGTTAAAATTAATCATCAACGATGAGTTCAATGGCTTCTCCTTGAATGTTACGCAATTTTAAAAGTAGCTTGAATTAATGCAATAATTTAATAAAATTGTAGCATTTTCGTCGATGAAGTAAACTTTTTTTGAAGCTTAAAAGTTTGATTTTATAATTTCTTTGATAATTTTTTTTGTTATGCAAACGTGAAATTAAAAAGTTGTATTTGTTTGGACAGCTCTAAAATTTTTGGAATGTCATGTGACTTTGCCATTGTTAGGCCATACAACCAATCTGCATATTTTGTTGTTATAATCAGGAAAATCGAAAGAATCCTTTGTTTTCTTGGTTATGCTTCATAAGTTGAAGCATTTTCCTAACTTGTTATTCCATTTTGGGGAAACGTAGGCCTAGATTATTTGTAGAAAGACTGCCCAAATCTGAAAAAGTTTCCGTTGCAAAACCGAATCCACAAAACGCCATAATTCGTTTATCGAATTCGTCCCAATACTTTTTGAACGTAAGTGTAGTATAAAATCACTTTAGGTACATATAATTCACATATTTCTTCATTCTGTTCCTATATCCATCCTTCCCTGGGTACAAATGGCTGATGAAGACAAAATTATGTCTAAATTTCTATTTTGGCAATTACATAACAGCACTGAAAATTTTGGTTTAGAATATCAATTCTAGAAGCATATTGGTCAAATGTCAGTTTTCTTTCTCAGCTGTGCTGACAAATTTGTCTTGACAATTACTTGCAATTTTATTCTGCAAAATTAAACTCGTAACTTACTTTGTCATGCTTCCCCCAAACAATCATTGTCTTTGTTTTGATGTCTGGTAGTTTTTCTTGAAGGAGATATCTCTCATTTTCATTTATAAGACCTTCAAACACTGTAAAAACAAGAAGATGAAGCTTCAGATTAAAGAATGATGGAGGTTACAAAGAAAGATATTTATGCTCTGATTATTCCTATAAAAATAAGTTTGAAAAAAATGAAATATAAAGAAAAGCAGAATTAAGATCATAATGAGAACAGCAGGTCACTCCCTCTCATTTATGGCCAAAATGGAAACCCCTCTCCAAGAAGAAATTGAAAAGAAACTCTATTTTTGAGTCCGCAACCTTTAACAAGGAAGAAGGAAAGAAAGATATGAAAAAAACATGCAAATTGGAAAAAAGGAGAGCATTAAAAAGATGCCTTAAAAGTAAATAAAATTGTCATTTTCTTCCTTAAAACTGTCCTTTTGGTTGTACTTGAAATGACCCTTGTAACTATAGCTACAAGGGCACATTCTCGGTTGTTGATAATCAAAATGTGGAAGCATTGTACTAGCTTATCAGTTTGGGCTGTATGAGTAAATGTCTAGACATATCTGCTTAAAACTGATGAACGAAGACTTTCAGTTGAATCTAGTCTTATCTCTTAGGATAAGAAAAAATAGTCTAGCTTCCATGTCTTCTATTACAAATAAATTGAAATGACAAACTATCAGGAAAAGCCAAAATTTGAATTCTAAAACCCAATCAGACAACACAATTGAACATCTGGATGCTGTCAGCTAAAGCACAGATAGATTACATATACAGCCCCCTTGCTCCAGCGTACCTGCATAGAGGTGAAAATATGCATAAATATCTTGGTTTAGTTGCAAAAGTCAGACCAATGTGTTGCTGTCTTTATAAGGAACTTCAGAAGTCCCACAAAAATTAATAAAATCTGACTTTATGATTAATAGCATTTATACCAAAAGAACTGGGCCATGAATCTTTGTCTTAGCTAGAAAATATACATCCAATATATATGAGTCTAACTTACGCCAGTCTGCCTGTTATTACTACATGCAGCAAAGGCTGGTGTTACCTTTCACATAGAAGTCCTGAGCTTGCAGTCTTGCCTGCATCAACCCAGAAACAATGATGTCTGGAAACTTGACTGGTTTGTGTACAAGCATGTTAATCATTGCTACAAACTCTTCATTGTTCTTTGGCAACAACTGAATTTTATTTTCTTTTTCATAAGCCTTCACCATTTGACTTGCAACAGGAGAATTAAAGCCAGCTGGACATACAAGCATAACAGATGCTAAATTTTTCGGAAACATTGCAGCATGGACACCAGCTATAAATCCACCAAGAGACGTGCCAACCACATGGTATTTCTTCTTGTTCAACCCAACAGCATTTGCAAACTGTAATGTGATTAAGAGTAATATCAATGTAAGTGACCCATCTTGTATTTCCCTCATTTTCGATAGAACTTTCTGCAAGGATTGCTAACATTTTGCTAACTTTAAAGGCATCACCTTGTGCATGCATTTGGCAAATTTTCAAGTTTCTCTTACCTATAATATGTTGCTAATATCAAGATTGATGGGGGGGGGGGCAGAAAGAGAAACATGGTAATAACACCTAAGAACATTGTGTGTGTAGGGGTCTGTAGGTGAACCTCCTTTAATATAAGAGAACAAACAAGATAGTCTAGTGACATTACAAACTAGTCTGATGATTTTAAAAGAATGGCAACTGTAATCAAAAGCTATGTTTTAAATTATTAAAGGCTCAAGGCTTAATAATCGCTTGCTGTTAAAATGCTTTAAAGTGCAAAGAATGGCAACAGTAATCCAATGTTATGTTTTCAATCATTAATTGCTTGCTATTAAAATGCTTTATGTGTTGCCTTGGTTTGATAGAAGTTAGTTAGTTAGCTCACAAGTTATGTTTGCACAGGTCATATGCAGGCCTTTTCGTTTAACGTGGGCGATTGCCCTTGCCATTGCTTTCGCAAAAATATTGATGCAGGCTTCTGACTGCCCTCGCAAAAATATGTATTGCCCGCAAGACAATTAAATTAAGCAACAAATGCCATTGTTGTTGTCACTATTATTCAATTCATATCTTCACATCAATCTTAAGGATTTCCCTTGAGGCCTTTTAGCTGTCCGATTTTTAGAACATGAGTGCTTTCGAAATGGGAGGTAGAAATCCGCCTTCCGGTTGATTTAGGCCAAAATTCCATATCCCGTGCATTATCCTTGAGAATATCTGTGTCCGGCAAATGTGTAGAATTCTGCTGTTCCGTCCAAGAAATTGCAAGTTTCCGTAATCAGCGACAAATTTACTCCAAAGTCCATTGCTCATAAATCTTGATGGCCCCCATATCGAATGTCAGTTACTCATAAGTGGGAACAACCAATATTGATAACAAGCCACAATGATAAGAACTGGTCAGTAATGGAAAGAAATGCTATGATAAAAAAAGCTGTTGATGCATCGTTTGGAGGAAAATTTGAAAGACTGTTGGAGAGGAGCCTCCAAGAAAGAGACTTTATCTTGAAGCTCCAAAAGAATCTGAAAACATAGATAATGGAATAAGGGAGGACAAAGGGGGGAATTTTTCAACCGAGTTGGAATCTGATTATAATTCATACTCTAAAGAAGAACTTTAAAACAGTGAACTTCTGGATGGTGGTTTTGCGGTTTTGATTGATTTAAAGTTTTATCTCATGCTTTTATGTAGCTGGTCAAACTAAACATATATTCTCTTTACATCAAACATTTTGGTTACAAACTGCCAGTAATCACGCACTAAGAAAATCAAAAGTTAGGTAGATAATACTTTCTAATTTCCTCAGATCCTGAAGGACTTTGTTAAACAAATAATATTGAATGGGCAATTGCCCTTGTAAGCTGATCCACGGGGGCGGTTTGTCGCCTTTGCAAAAATTTCTTAATGAAAAGGCCTGATTATATGGTATTTTGAGAATAAATGAATAAAAAGTGTATATATGTTTATCTAACAAAACAATAACACGATTAAACTGGTTTTTAGGTTGTCTGTAATTTTCTTTTGCCAACATGTAAACTACCGGGCAATATGAAGGAATGATCTTAAAATCATCATTCGCTGCTCTTTAGGTTGTTTGTGAAGCCAAAGAAATAACAATACATTATACTTAACTAGAGTTTCCTACAATTACAAGCCAAACAGCTTGACTGTAATCTCTTAAAAATGACAAAGTTATTAAGAAACCAAAACCAGTTGTGCAAAAAAGTGAATAGGCTAGAGATATTCTAGCAAAATGGCAAGGTTTATATCCCTACAAAACAATCTTTAGCAGGAAAAACCCTGAAAAAACTTGAAGCACCCAAAGTAATCTACTAACAATCTGGGAAAAAACAATGCGAGCTGTAAAAAGCCCTTGCAAGTTTGGCTGCATGTGCTATTTAGCCCTTGCAGAACTGTTGTTAGTTTTTATATTTGAGTATTTACAAAGGCAAAAATACATTACATTGCCAATTCTTTTAACGCTATTCACTTTCAAAAGGCATTTTGTGTGTATTACTACTTTTAAATTTTGTGTTACCACTCCTTAAAACGAGACAGAAGAGGGACATAACTTGTTTTGGAACATAGCAAAGTTTTGTTAGGTTTTGCAGATCAAATGTGGCTTTTTTGGGAATGCCTAGTTTATATGTTGTGACTTGAAAAGAAATTGTCTCGTATTTGAAAGCAAGGTGTAGCATTTCTCATTTTAATTATTGGTAGCATTAATCACGCTACATATCTTTCCTTTTGTGTGAACACATTTCCTATTCTATTGCAAGTTTTAGCAGATAATACAATAGTTTGTTAACATGTGCTATATAAGGAAACAGAAATCTCCCATTTATAACGCCATTTGATAAACACATAGATGTGTAAGACCTCTTTCTCTTTATTTACTGACACCCAGATATTTAGCCATAAGTAGTACAAACATTGGGAAGCTTAAATGCGCAAATGAAATGAGAATGTTGGTTTGCAAAACTGGGCAGGTGGGAAAAAGCCCTCGCAAATCTATTATGTGCGGGGTTTGCGCTGGTGCAAGCCCTAGGTCGCATCTCCAGGAAAGGCATGCAATATAAACAAAAAAATGCCGGCATAACTTTATTCCAAAGTTTGAAATTTGAATAAAAATCTATAATCAATTTTTCTAAGAAGTATAAACAATATACATATGTTCACCTGTTCTACTCTCTTTGCAAAACCTGGCACTGAAACATCATCCTTCAGCTTTCTTGTTGTCCCTCCGTGGCCAGGCAAATCCAAAGCAACAATATGTATTCTCTTGGGGATAAAGCTAGCCATTAAACACCAGTTTTCTTTGCTTGAAGTAAAACCATGTACAAGAAGCAATGATATGGCATGATCTTTTGCATTTCCCCTTTCAATATATTCAAACTCAAAGTTGTCTGATACTTTCAGCTTTTTCTTCTGGAAACCTGCCTTGAAAATGATATATCTAAAGGAAAAAATGAGGTTTCCTAGTATCAAAAATGAAAATATACCTATAAAAAAGACTTCATATTTTTGCTCTGATGAAGCCCCATATGTAAAAATCTGGTGATCTGCTGATAGGTAAAAATCCGGTTGGAAAACATGACTACAATCACTTTTTCTTTAAGAAACTAAGGTCTGGTGCTGAGGTAGGCATTTTCTTAAATTTTTTGGCCATTTTGCTATCAAAGGTTTCTTACATGTTTCTTAAATTTCTTAGGTAATGAATTTGTCAAACGTGCTTCCAAAGTAAAGTGAATAGATCACTCACATTCAGAGATAAACTAACAAAGTGATCAAGGAATTTTGGTTTCTTAGAATGACTACCTCTGTTGAGATCTGTAAACAGTTAAGCTTTGTTGAACTTCATCAATGTCAAGTTGAAGTAAAACATATTTTTAAATGGAAACTTCTTGAGCGTGCAATTTACTGAGAATAAACATGCAAACTGCACGTCAAGTGTAGTGTTGCAATATACCCTTGATGTTCAGTTTCAAGACTGTTTCGAGTTTTAACTCGGAAAATGAAAACTACAAAGTATAAAAGTTTCTTACCTGTTTTATTTGGGTAGGGTTGTTTCTTAACCTTCGAAAAATTGAGCCTACCGTTTCTTATATAACCTGTTTCTTATAAAAAATGAGTGTAACTTAATTGCTTTGTGTAGTTGTAAGCATTTAGATTCCAAAGTTTTGAGCTGGGGGGTTTTATCATGAGAGATGATTGCCAAGTAACATCATGAAATGAAGATGCTCTAAAGAAACTGATACCACAGCCCGATCTCAAATATGTCATACTCTAGGTACCCTAACGCAATATAACGAAAAAATGATGTAATACTGGTATAGATACCTCTGATATAGTCTGTAAATGACAACTGGGTAATTGAAAACAATAAGCAGCAAAAGAAGAGATAAAATAACTTGTATTGCCAAGGCGTAGCCAAGAACAGTGCTGTTTTCCAAAATTAAGTTTCTGAGCCCCTCCATCTTGCTGCACACCTGTCTTGTCTCTAATCTCCAAGGGAAGTGGATGTGATGTGTAGCCTCGATTTGGTGTCCAACAGCCAAAACTGGGGCAGAGCAGGATTCTGCAGGAGGTACTTTTTGGGGGAGATGATCGAATGAAAATCTGCAAATGAGTGGGGCAGCCCTCCGTCCTGTAGTCTGAGACATGTATCGCAACTTCGTCCCATGCAAATGCTCTTTGACTCCAGGAAGGAGGGCCTTACTCATTAAAAAACTTTCTCTTGCTCATCCCCCGGCAAGTAAAAGACAGGCAGGGACTTCCCCATTGCATTCTCTAATCACCCCCACCTAGAAGCTCTTGGCTAACTCTGTATTGTATTAATTTGCTTTCCTATTCCACACTTTGTTTTACCACTCTTTTCTTCTTTCAATCAGACAGGTTCCCACCAGTGCACAAGAGGTTTCCAAACATCAAACCTGCGTTGTATGTTGCCTTTGTTCTTTCTTTCAATGGATCTTTTCAACTGATAGTGTTAATTTCGTATCGAAGTCCACAAGGCTTCAGTGGTGATGTTTACTTTTGCAAGGAAATATTTGGCCATCGTCTGAGTGAAAACCAACAGCTGCGAAGAAAAGTTCAAGCAAACTTTAGAGAAAAGTGAGTCAAGCGTAGAGTTAAGAATCCAACGACACTTGATAAAAAGTATAATGTACTATGTGTTATTTTCACGGCACCAGTTGTGCAGTTAAATCAAGAAACTATTAAGGAACCTTAAGTACTTCAATTCGATATTTAGAGAGCAAAGAACAGTGGCGAAAGTTCAGTTTTCAAATGGGGGGCAATGTCTACAAAAGCATGCAAATTTGCCGGCAAATGGCACAATTTTGCCGAAAAAACCGACAATTTGGCAAAACCCCCACAGCCCCGCAATTTCCGCCACTGGCAAAGAATATGGCCCTATTCGCACTGCATCTAGAAACCTGACAATGCTAATCCCTTATTGTTCTATCTTCAAAGGCGGCAAGGGTTTTTTAGGAAGTAGTTTAATTGGTAGGGTGCGAACAGCAAAATCTGAAATCTGACAAATTGTAACGTTTCGACTAATTGGTCAAAGGTTCCGTCGTAGAGCTCTGGAGCACCACAATCTCGTGAAAATCTATGATAACCAGCGGGTGACTCGACGGACATGCCAGAATTATGTTAACACCAATAAAAAAGCCCAGGGTGTTATTTGAAATCATGTCACAATTTAAAAAGGTACAATTTCTTAATGGCAACCTGATAACGTGTTAGATAACAATACAACATCTCAGAAAACTGCCTAATGCGAACAGAAGTCTGACAAACTTTGTCAATCTTGAAAAAGTTTTTTTAATTGGCGTGAGAATATCAGGTTTGACAAACATTATCATATTTGCAATGCGAATAGGGCCTAAGGTACTTCAAGCGCTAGGCCACCAGTTAGGTTCCTTATATAATGAATAAGCGTGGATGTCAATTATCATCATCAAGTGCAAATACATGACAGTTTGTTTTTATCGTTATCTTCTGAAATTATTGTCTAGCGATTGTAGAGCATCGATGGTGAACATTGAAAACAGTGGCGTAACGCACGTCGTGCACCTTTAGGCACTATACTAAGGGCCCCCAAGCAGTGATGTGCCTAGACAAAGTTGTTTGGGGGCGATCAGAAAAAAAGTGACCATCCATGAGTATCTTTTTGCGAAATAATTTTTGCGACCACACCCTTCTGATAACTTCACGCAGAAAAAAGTGACCATCCATGAGTATCTTTTTGCGAAATAATTTTTGCGACCACACCCTTCTGATAACTTCACGCAGAAAAAAGTGACCATCCATGAGTATCTTTTTGCGAAATATTTTTTGCGACCACACCCTTCTGATAACTTCACGCACCTCAGAAAACTTCTCGCAGCCGTTTCTTGCAGTTATTTCTTATAGTCGTTAGCTTGCTCCTTATAGCAATATATTTGCAATACACTCTTTTTCGTACGAACCAGTAAATTCGAGTTCAGGCTGACTGTTTTTCGAAAATCTGAGGCTGGATTGTTCTTAATTTGTTTTCAAGTTAATAGTCTGTAAGCAAGCAGTGTAATTGCTAGCATTTTCACTCTAGGGAGGTATTTAGGCCTCATTTTCCAACAAAGTGAGTGAGACAACCTTTATTTGCCGAAAAGTTTGAATAATCACCAAAAAAGCACCCACACGTGGCTAAAAGTCCTCGTTTTTTAGATAAAACGTTGTTCAAAATTGCATTTTACAGTAACTCAGCCTAAGCTTGTTCTTAATTTTTTTTAACTTTGACCAATTTAGAGGCTCGTGTTTTTATAAAATTGTTCTTATAGAAAATGAGTGTATTACGAAAAAGAAAGTTGACCATGATAAATAAAATGAATGAATTACTGGTTGAAATTTGGTCAAACTTCCTAATTAATGCTAAGGTTCCCGCTGCATGACCAACTTTCTTAGGCCTGGTTCAAACGTCGCACTTCTCATGTGCCGAACCTAACTCTGTTTGGAGCGACACTTGAGCATGTTAAGCGCGACTCCCGTTTCAAACGTCGAACTTAATCATGTAGCGCCAAATGGGTTTTAGGATTGTTACATAAAGTATCTTGGTTAAGGCGCACAATCTCAAATATTTGTTTGAAACGCATAATTTTGCATTGAGTTCGGTACATGACAAGTTCGACGTTTGAAACCGTGCCGTGCTGGAGCCGTGCAGCTCGGCAAGCTCTGCCGATCCAAACTAGTCTGCCGCTCCTAACTAAATTTGCCGTACCAAATTGATTCAAACGTCGCGCCCCTCATGTACTTAATTCTCGAGTTAGGTTCGGCACATGAGAAGCGCGACGTTTGAACCAGGCCTTAAAGTTTGCAGATATTTTTTTGGGGGGGGGGGGGGGGAGGGGGGGCATGATGTTCCGAGATGTTTCTCAAAAAACGGGTTTTTTACGGAAGCATATGTTTTTTAAAGCATTCACAGCATCACTGAATTAGGCGAAAAACTGGATATGCTGTCAAACTGAGCAACCATATAATAATGGTTCAATATATAGCAAGTCGATTATGTTTCCTTCTAAAAGACATCTATATCGTTATTAAATTTTGTATTTAATTTACGAAAATATAACAAATATAGAAAATGTAATTGATTTCCTCCATGAAGCAGTTTGAAAATATTAATTTTTCTGAACATGTTTTCCAATGCAAGTCCAGCCTCCATTTGTATACGCTGAACAGAATTCCAGGAAAGCTTAGATGAAAATCAAAGAAAATATCTCAGGCAGCAGAATTTCTCTTCATATGTTGTTATATGTTATTTATTTTGGCTTTACAGGAAAACACCATAGAGTGAGTGCTTAGGCCTGATTAAAATTTTAATATGCCCTTGCATGAATATTTGAAAGCTTGAGGAATCTTGAAAAGCCTGAAACATCTGGGGCTGAGCTCAAAATTGAGAAACCTGTACAAAGTTGTCTCTAGTGCGCCTTTCTCAGACTAATTTTTATAATTTTTGTCTATGGGAGGTGTTGACCGTCTCCTGCAGGGAGCGAGAACTGATTTCAGATAACCAATGCTGTGGGTGCAGCGATAAACGTATTTTTGTGCAGTGATAAAAAGCTGAAATTTTTATTGTAACAGTCAAAAATAGAAAATGAAGCAAATAATATTTATTAAAATCCGATGATGATCTCTTTGCTAGATAGTGTACTCAACAAATAATTTTTGGCTTGAAAAAAGGGTTTGTGTTGTTTACTTTCAGCATCCTTTGAATCTATGACTTGAGAATCATTCAAAACCTTCGTTTACCATTATAACTGCCTTTTATAAACTACTATACAACCATTTATGCAAAGCTTTAAGTTTGATTTTTTCCAAAGTTTGATATTAGATAGAAACAGATTTACACATTTCTCAGATACAAACTTTATGACCTTGTGGCGGCCGCCCCAAAGCTGTTTTTAGATTTCTGCTTTTACCAGAAAGTTTTCTAATAAGGGTAACTTTATTGTAACCCACAATTTCTATGCATAAATTTTGTCCACAAAATTCATGATGTGCATCAATCAGCAATTCGCATAATTTATATTTTAAGTATGTACTAAGAAAATAATTAATTGTGGCCTGATTCAGTCACGGGGGTGGGTGGAGGAGGGGGTGGGGATACTCCCATTAAGGCATAACAGGGGGCCCAGTCGATTTGAGGGTCTAATCAAATGGCTACCAACTGGCCCAGATTTTTTATAATAACATGACGGCTTAGTTTAGCTTTGGATTTGTTATAGTTAATGAACAAGAATTTATCTCTATCGAATCAACAACAGTCAATGGTGAAGAAATTTGCCAAAGAAGGACCAAGTGAGCAAAAGGAAATTGATGCTACCATGGACATAATTTCGGGCCTTATGCCACCACTTGAGGGTTATTGTCAAAAAGACAACCATTTGAGAGTAATTCTTCGACAGTTTAATTTTGGCCCTCTATGACCCTGACTGGACCCCTTTGTTAGGCCATAATGGGAGTACCCACTCGCTGGGATTCAGCCCCCACTCCTCTGTATACATGACTTTTTTCGCCACTAATAAAGAAAGTAAAGGTCAGGAAAGCATGAATAAACTTCAAACTTGTTAATTGATTTTCTCCATAAAAGTTATTTATTGTAACTAAAAACTGCAAGATAATTTTTGGTTTCTCACAAGTTTGATCAAAAACATGAAAATATTTTTCTATTTGTTCCAATGTCCAGTTTGAAAGAAGGAAAATGAAAGGATGATGATGATCGATGTTGCGGGGGAGCGTAGCCTCGATTCTGATAATTTGGCGCCATTTGTGTTCGTCGCATGTTTGTTTCAGGACAGCAAAAGTTTTCACGAGAATCTCCTTGGTAAAGATGAGTTTTCGTAAGTTATAAATATTGCCAAATATTTTTACTTATGATAATTTTAATAATGTTTTAATTTGATTTGTTAAGTTGCTGCATTTTTAATTGCTAGAGAGCTGATTTTAAAGGGTGTGTAAGTAAATGATATATCCCGAAAATGCGTTAATTTTTCCTATCCAGTTGTAAAAATTTTTTAGCGAAAAGCTTTCATTTTTTATTGTCGACCTCCATTTAATTCCAATTGCATATAAAAAGGATAGAAAGCAGCAGATGAAGTTTTAGTAATGTAGCGACGCACATTACGAGTATGACTCTCGTAAGAAATATTAAATGTCCGCCACGATCAAAATCAATTTACTAGCAACCTGCTTCACTCCTCTCAAGTTAAGGCTGCTCTTATGGCAGAAACTTCATAGATAATTTTATCTTAACATTACTTAACATTATTACATGATTTAGGCAGTGTGTGCTGGAAAATGGATGAAGTTGAGCACCCAGTTCAGTTCAGTTTCATATTTTAAATTCTCCACATACAATTTATCATAACAAAACTAATTAATACAAACAAATTACTAAACTACAATAATAACAATAATGCACCTAAAATTAATATAACATACAAATACCGAACAGAGAACAATATAAATTGCATGGGGGAATTACTTAAAGGAGGAGCTCTCTCAGTAGTTAAACTAATCAAGGAGAGAGCACCCCCCCCCTATTTTGTTCCTGTGTGCATCCTGGCAGGTTCACAGCAAGTAATGGGCTCAACGTTTTTGTAAATGATTTTTCTGAAGACAGGGAACAAAAATTTAAGCTGTTGATGGGCCACCCTTCCATGTAATCTTGCCTTAACAAATTTAAAAGGGAAGGTTGCCAAGTCCTGTTGTAGAGTTGTCTTGAAACTTTTTTATGGGAGTTGAACCAGTATATCGTTTTTAAAAGTTATAATGGATTTATTTTTAAACACCTCACTTTTACAACACTGATGTTTAACTAATATTAGCAAACAAATTAATTTTCATCTTGATTTTAAAGTTCATCTCCTATTCCTCTTTGTTTTTCAGCAAATATGTTTGGAGGAGGCTATATGGTATGATAGTTATAAATATACAATAACCATATTTTTGATAATTTTCTTGTTTTGCATCATCAATCAACTTGGTTTTTAAGAGTCTTTTTGTAGACTAATTCAATTGATAACAGTTTGACAACTTGCATAAAGCTAAGTTTTTGAGGTAGTCAATGTAGAAGGTTGAAAAAACTTCATGTTTGAATATTCAAAGACCTTGATTCCAAGGAGTGAGTTACTCCAAAGTTTTGCTATAGGGTGAAATGTGCATGGGAAAGAGTCTCTTCAACCAGAAAGAACCGCATCATTCACTCTGATTAAGGCAGAGCAACATTATTCACTCTGATTAAAGACAGTGTGTCATGACATTCATTGGTTTATCCAAACAATGAACAAAATTTCTATTTCAGTGTGTTTTCATTTTGTAACAAAGGACGCCTCTTACTTGCTATTGACCAGTTGTGCTAATTTATCATGCCTCTCTAATTCAATAAAGAATAGCCAATGAGCAGCGCAACATAAACAGATGCAAAGGCCATGCAATTGAAAATAAAGAAAACTTAAATTTGCAGCCAAATTGTCTAAAATTAAAATGAAACCTCAGCATTTGGATCATTTGTTATCATGCTGGAGAAAGAATTATGCAAAACTCAATCAACCACATTCTGGAAAACATTTTCCAGCCAAATCAGCTGCCCATCCTTCAATTTCAGTTACAAATGAGTTGCCAGGGTTTTCATTCTAGAATCAATCTGGGTGCATAAACCGCAGATCTTTTTAAGTTTTCATCTGCCATGGCCCTGACCAATGTTAACAAACATAACCTTGTTTACTTGCTTGATTTTTAGTGTAATATGCATATAATTTGCAATTCATTCTAGGACATGGGTGGTGGTGGTGGTGGTGGTGGGGGATTTATGACTGATGATTCTCCATCAAAACTAGATTCATCACAAACAAAAAAGGTAAGTATCATTGCAGCTTCCCTTTAGATAAAAGTATGATTTCATCAGACAAGAACATGATTATCTTATCTCAAATAATCAAATAGGCACACAGAATGATTTGATGAAATTTTAATGATAGCTTTTGTACCTTTTTATTTTTTTGCCACTTTCTATGATGTAATTCTATTCTTAATTTGGATTTCTGAAGTTAGAATAAAAGAAATACAAATCCGTCAAATATTAGTGAATTTGAAATTGATAGAAGATTTCAGTTTTTGTTATTTAGATTTAAGTTGTTGTGATCTGTATACAAAATTAACTTAGTATGTACTTTGTTACTATTTTGTTTTACTTTAAACTATGTTGTTTAAAGATACTATTTGGTGTTTAGTCCTGTTCTATACACCAAACAGCATGTACAGCTCTGCCTGTACTGCATCAAGCACTTTATGACAGACTGGTAAACAGTAATTTTCAAAATTGCTCAAAATATGTTTATTGTAAAACTCTCATTCTGTTTTTCAGTCAATGAAATCAATGAGAGAAACACTTTGGCCAGTTACAAATGCCATGCTACACAAGGCTCAATATGACAACATATCTGAAATGTTCAAATTTGATGACATTGAGTTGCATCAGGTATGGACTGGTTGAATTGAACTTAAATCCCTCATACAACACTGCCTCCTGAACAAGTACATAGTGTTGAACAATTATCACTTGTGTGCATTCTAATGATTAACCTAAACCTTTAAAAATTATAGACCTTCCTCTGTCTTTGACCAATTTTTTTTTCACAGAAATCGAAAAATGGAACAGAGTTCTTTTCCATTCAGTGCTGGATCAAATGAGGCTACATCCGTTCCTGAAATGTTTAGGCTACAATAAAGAAGCATCTTGCATAATAACACTATCTTAGATGCATCTTTTTTTCTTATTTAGGTCACAATAGTTGGTGTTATCAGAGAAGTCCAGGAATCCTCAACAAATATCTTATACAAAGTTGATGATATGACGGCAGACAGCATAATTGTGCGCAAATGGATTGAGCCAGATGTAATATCTTAATACACCTACTCTTACTTATCTGCCTATAATTATAAAGAAAATATTACTTTGATCTATCTATAAATATATATTATTTTACAATACAATTATTTCTATTTTTCTTTAATATATGTTTTAACTTAATGACTTCTTAATGGCATTGGGATTCCACAGAAAATTGTCACTAGAAAAAACAATTTCTGTGTATAAAGATAATAATCAATAATGTTTGATTCTGTTTTTTCAAATGTTTAGGAAAACCCAGCAGAAGCAATAAGGAGGTCACAATACAGGTGAAAATTCCTCATTTGCATTTTATTCACTGTTTGCATCATCAAAATTGGGTGCTTATTTTCGCTTTATTTTCTTATACACCTTTTAAAAGCAATATAGTTTCATACCTATACCATTTCTGTGCATGAAATTTCATATTGTTGAGGAAAGATTGAAATCCTTTCCCAATCCTTTCCTCTAAAATCCATTACTCTTGGTAAATCAGAGCAAGAATTGTTTTGTCTGCTTTTGTGCTTAAAAACCACCATAATCTTGTTCTTTTACAGAACTGATTAAAGTTGAGCTGTGATGTGGACAAAAAATTTTGAATTGCCAGTTAATTGCTTGATATTTTGATTGTAGAGTGGTTAAAAGTTCACTAGAGCTTTTTCAAAGTGCCCTGAGCTACACATTTGCTATATGTTATAAGTAAATATATTTGTAAATTTGTCTGAAGTTTTAATGGAAAAAACTCATGTCACTGAATCACTGAAGGAAAGTTGAAAGGCGGTCCTGCACCAGTAGTTGTACAAGGGAGGCTCCGTGGCTAGAGACACTGGGTTTGGTCCAAGGGTTGGTGGTTCCAATTGCTAGCGGGAACAAACTCTCACCTAAAGTGAGGAGAGTCGCCAGCGCTCTGTAGGTAGGAATCGTGAGGAAGGACCAGGAAACTGCTTCATAAGCACAGCTTCTCAATGCTGAACAACCTCCTCTGGACGCTAGGTAGCAGATACAAATAAAATACAAAACTAGATATACAAACAGCGTTAGAAATGTTTTGGCACACATCATTTCACACATATCAATTGAGCATTTGCATTCATCCTACCCCAACATATGATGTAATTTTGCATCATTAGCCAATCAGTCGTCAGTAACGACTCAGTCAGGTAGTTGATTGGTACATGTTTTTATTAGGTCTGAAACTCAGATTTACTATGCAACAAATTTTGTTACCTCTGCTATGATATAGATTTTGGTTTATAACAATGATTAAATGCCTAATAACTATCCAAGTTAAAATGTCACTAACAAATTGTTTATCTATTGTAGAGAAAATTCATATGTCAGAGTATATGGACACATGAAATCACTTCAAGACAAAAAATGCCTTGTTGCTTTTAAAATTGCACCAGTTAAAGATTTCAATGAAATAACTTACCACATGCTTGATGTTATTCATTCATTTCTTTACAAAACAAAGGTGGGATATTCTTTTCTATGGATTCTATTTTGTAAAAAACGATAAAATAAGACTCCTCTACTCAAAATGAAATGGTAAAAGCTTATATTTCAGTAATTAAAGTAGACATGCTCTTTAAAGCTATGTCTTAAAACAACCTTACACTTGTTTTATTGGCAGAACTTGTACTCATGACCTTTTCACCATCCTTGCTTAGTGATTTCTAGCTCGTTATGAAGTTTGGTTTTGTTGCTTTAAATGACAGGACAAATATGCCTAAAATGAGGTGATTCTGGAAGTGTGTGATTGATTATACGAGGGTCTTTTTCCATATAGGGGTTCTTCATAGGGGGCTCCCTTAACTTCACTTCCAGCATGCCAATTAAACAGATACCTGTTTGCTTCTTGGAAACTGACTCAAAAACATAAGCAATTAGTATTCATCAAAGTACTGTATATCACGTAATGTTTTTATTCCCAGCAATAAAAATGTTTTTATTCCCTGTGAGTTCTTTTTCCCAGCAATGACACTTTTTTACCTGTTTGTTGTTTTCCATTTTTATACAGGTTGTGGATAAAGGTGATGTTAATATGAGTGGGGTCTTTAACACTGGTACTGAGACAGCTGGACTGGATGGCAAAAAAGTATTTTCTGCACCAAACACACATGGAATGTCTGTGATCGAGAGGCAGATACTTGATATGGTCTATGTTTGTCGTGATGAGCAAGGAGTCTCCATTGATGCCATGAAACAACAGCTACGAGGCATAAGTAATGCCCAACTCAAGTATGTTGATTTTTTTGTATTACCATATAACAGATCGTATGAAGCATTACGACAAGCTTCTTACATTATATTTAAGAGCCCCAATTTGATAACTAAAATTTAGGCTTTATAAGTCTAGTCATGGTTATTTTGTGAATAGAACAGTTTTGAAAATTTAGAGAGTATTTGGTTTATCTTGCAATGCCAACGTTATTTTACTACTCCTGAAAGTCAAAATTTTTGTAGTGAAAAGTTCTATGTTAAATCAAACATAAAATGACTTAAATGAAACTCAATGCTGTTGCAACTTAACATTGCATGTTGGCAGTTTCTATATTTTAATATTTGAGCAATCCGTGGACAAGAACAATTACCATAACTGGCAATAAATAAATAGCCCGATTAGCTCCTCATTCTTCTCCTTAATTTCTCTAGCCATTGCATGTAATACCTAAGTGCAGGCTTATGTGCAGTATTATAAGACAGAAAGACAAATTTAGATTTTAGTGACCTGGCATTACTGTTAAGCTGTTTTCTGTAACATTTTCATTTTAGTTTGTTATCTTTATAAAAAACCATCAGTCACAAATTGTTTTGAATTCATTGTATCATATTCTACTATAAGTTGCTTGAACAAAACTACATAGTTACTTAATATAATATTGATAACATTATAATAACATCTGCTAATCATCTCTGTAACAATTTAATATTTCAACCTTTTCTAGGGAAACACTCGACTTCTTGAGTAATGAAGGTCACATCTACTCAACAATTGATGAAGAACATTTCTTATCAACTTCTGCTGGGATGTGAGACATTTTTATAAACCATGGACACATAAAATGCCCCAACATAAGAAGATCTACACTGCAAGTCTTTCTAATAATGTTGCGCCTTGGTGTATGTTGCCATGTTGGGCCTTAAAGCTAAACCCTTTGATAGTAGCATAATTAACTTAAGAATAAGGGCTTTTAAAATCCTGAGAGGGGTAATCATTACAATTACTTTAATCTTTTCCAGAACTGCTGTTCCCAGACTCTTGACTGATGCCCATAAATATTTTGCAGATTAATTTTATGTCAGTATTACGTTGCAGTTATTCCCTTCCCAGTATGGTGAGACAGCCTTTTTCCTAATCACCAAATACGTATCATATCAGATCAGACCATTGTTGAAATTGTTTAGTTGTTCTCAATTTAGATTAAATTAAGTGTCAGTAAGAACATATGTACCTAAATATTTGTGTCATATACAGTGATATTGTGCTTTGAAATAACTTGCTTGTGATACTCCTCCTTGACTCTTAGACTTTCTCATATTGCATTGTTTCAGGGTGTAGTTTTTGGAGAATGGTTTATTAAGAAAAAATAAATTAAGTAAAGAGAAGAAACAAAATGAACATAGTTACAAGAGTATATTATAATTTCTTACTTGGTCTTAAAGACATAAATACCAAAATTAAGACATCAAAAGAAGAAATTAAGATGTATTTTTTAAAATTTGTTAATAATCTTATTTAATAGTAACCACTCTGAGAATTATCTCTAGTTTATCAAAAAACTTTAGATCCTACTTGTTAGACAATGAAACACAAAATTTCCTTCATGACAAATGGAATTTTCAAATTCATTTTGCCAAGAATTCTAGTACAAATAATATTTCAGCATTCAATGCTTAATTAATTATAAACCATAACTAAACACATTGAATATGTTTACCTTATAATAAAACACTCCTATTTCTGGTTGTCCCATAAATCCTTGAATTAGCCCCCTGAGAGCTTATTAATTTATGAAGCTTTAAGGTGGGGACTAATTTGAGGGGGGCCTATCTGGGGGAAGGGGTGGGACCTTATAAAAATAATTTCCAAGTTGCCATACAAATACCTCTTTTTGTAGCCTGAAAATATGATTTTAAAGTATCATTCAAAGGATAAAAATATATTTGGTCCAAAATATGGATATCTTGATTGTATTTGGCAGTCTTTTCACCAAAGTCTTTTTTGTTTTAATTTTTTTATTCTGTGCTGAATAGGTGTTTTATTAATCACTGATTTAGATGATATAGTTTTTGTTGTATCTAGATAACACTCTTGTGGGGGCTTTTAGAAAGGCTGAGTTAGGGTTGTAGTGCTAGGGAGGCTCACGGGGTAAGATTTCTTGCTAATGCCTAAGTTAGCTGATGTGTTATTGTTTTTAGCAACATTGGTGCAAAAACCCCTTCTGTTATTTTGATCGCACTACACTACAGAGGTGATGATTTATTCAATTTGGGGGCTTATTAAGATTTTAATTTACAGGTTTGATTTTTATTTGAGGGGGTTCATACAAAGGGGGCAGACTTTGAGATTCTGGGTATGACAAGTAATATGCTTGTAAACTCAAATTACACTCATGATGAAAATTGACAAAGACCACAGGTTGTTGTTGTTTGAATCAGACAAGGTCTGCCTCTACTTCTGTTCCAGAAGCTTACTTGATTCTTACCCTGCCTCTTCTACTGTTTTTGTTGCATTGAAGTCAAACATTGTTTTCCCCAAACATTCTATACTGCATATCATCAAAGGCATCATCACAGCACTTGCTTGTGCATTCTGCATAGTCTCTGTAGAGTGTTACTGATACTAGTACAAAAATGACCAGACATGGAGCAAAGAGAATCCAAAAAAACCCAACAAGAAAAACAGTTATACCTGTCAGGGCAACCAGGGCGGCTACTTCAAAAACTCCTACGCATATCTGCCAAGCAGCCATTCCTGTGAGTGTTCCAACTACAGTTGGCTTCAAAGTGCTGGCATTAGCAATTGATTTTTGATCTACAAACACATCATCTTGTACTGAGGAACTGGCAATGGAGGTCCTGTGCTCTCGGAATGAATAGAACTCATCTCCATCCGGAAGCTGACTCCTGTTGCTCCCATATTGTGGGGCACTTTGCTCAATTCTTCTCGTTTTAATAACAGGTTTTCGAAACCAAATTAACTGGAGAAGTAAACATACTTGATTCAAAATTCTCATTATTATTGAAAGAATTTTACCAATAAAACCAGGCAATTTTATAAGTGTAAACAAATTAGCAAATGGCTACAAGCCCAAAACCATTATTTGGCCCATTTTCACTATTGTAGATATTTCAGTTTTAATTTTTTTGCAAAAAGATACAAATTGAGTTATTTTATTTTTGTCTAGCTATTATCTACAAGCAGAGATATGTAATTTCTATCACAATCACAAGGCTTTTGACAAAGAAAATCTCACTCTAAAGCAAATTATGTTTGCAAATAAGTAATGCACACATACATGACAAAATTTTATACCAAATGTTTATACATAATCTTAACCTTTTATTGATTTTTTCCCAATTTTTTCTTTTTCATACAGTGTCAGGCCTTGACCGGAAAGGCGCTCGATAGAGCCTGAACGCCTAAATTGCACCTAAATATAGCCATGGAGAGCGATTTAGTGAGACCTGAAAATCTGTAACAATATTGCACTGAAGCAAAATATCGTTTGAAAACAATGTTAATAAAGCATCAACAATCTTCTCAAATGACCAAAATAATTTGGTTTATAATATTTTTACAAAAGTTTATACCACTAATCTTTTGATGACTAGATTTTATATCCAGTTCCTCATAAGGCCACATCTACAGGAATACCTTTTTGAGTAGAAAAAGTTACTTGCCATGCATTGTAAATACAATTGTATGAAAACAGTTGTATGATATTTCAAAATGCATCATTTCCATTTGGACCATATCGTTTGGCTTGTTTTCATTAAGAAGAAATTGAAAATTTTTGCAAACAGCAATTTTACACAGGAGTGTGAAATAGAGCACCTTGAGTTTCTTAGGAGCTCGTTTTATGGAGCTCCTTCATTTTGCTTTATGCAAGGCCTGATACATGTCTTACATTTGTATATTTTAACATCAGCTGCTTCAAAAGTTGTATTGGAAATTAAAAATTTAACACGATTAAAAATTTAAAAGCTACCTAACAGTAAATTAACTTAAGCAAAATCATACCTTGAAAAAATTGGAAATAACATAAGTCTGTAAAGTTTTAAAACTTCATATTGATTCTAAATGCTGTGCAAGCTCCTTCAACATTCTTTTTGGATCAACCTTTTAGGTACTTTCAATGTAATAGGGTGAAAAGATGATATCATAAAAATCTAAATTTTAGAATTACTTTAATTTTGATCACTTTAGCAGAAGAATGCAGTGTAATATTTCTGAATGTGCAAAATCAGTGAAACTGCTACATATTTTCTGAGATATGGCCAGTGAAAGATTTCACGCTTGCCAAAATATTGTAATTTTTGCTTTGCTCATAGCTTTTAGAACTAAGTTTAAATTGATGGGAAGTAAACTTGTACACATGTGACCATATCTCAGGAGATTTGTAACAGGTCTAGCTAATTTATCACAGCTAGAAGGATTGAATGGTGTCCTTTCAGGTTCTACGTTCAAAATCCAAAAATTCTACATATACTTTGGTGCTTGTAATGTTAAAACCTTGCCACTCTGTAGGCAGCATTATGACTAGAAAGCTTACATAGCAAATTAATACCTATTGGGATAATGTTTGTCATGATTTAATCATGCTTCAAGAGTTAGTGTGCCCAGGCCTGGCGTTTGAAATCTAAAACTTCTATAAAAAGATTTTTGTAACATGGTAAGCAGCAATTTATCATTTAGCAACAAACCTGCAAACAGTTGATGTGACCAATGAATGCTCCAATGAAAACCATGCTTTTAAATTTGGTGGATGTCTCAAAAATATACACAGGCACAAACTGAAATGACCAACCTACAGCTGTCAAAACTACTGATATGTTTGACTGCCCAAGTGTGCTTCTTTCAAATATATTACGAATTACCTGAAAAACAAATTTAATTTGTTTATATATGTTTTGGGAATTTAACCTCAAACACCCATTTTCAAATTTAATCTACTTAGAGTACATAACCGGATTGTTCTAAGTTGCTACTCGAAGTTTCATGCTTAATGTCAGGCAACTTTGGTGTAATGAGCAGGATGATTCTTAGTTGTTACTTGGATCATCAGGCAAATGATTGTGTGAAACTCAGACTAGCAACTTAGAACTGTCTTGTTCTTTACAACAAATAGCATGTACAGCTCATCTTATATGGCATTGAGCACTTTATGACAGACCAGTAAACAGTAATTTTCATTCTTAATTTTATATGTTGATAAATATTGAAAACATAAAACTCATAAACTCACATATTTCTATAAATATTATGCAAATATTTTTTGATAACGTCTAAATATACTGGAGAAATGTGACTAGTTAAATGAACTCTTGTAGTGCCTCATTACTCATCACAGGCCATACAGAGGGAAAAAATATTCTTATTTGTTTATTTTTCTTATTCTGTTGTAGACAATTTTAATTTACTGCTTCTTCTTTACAAGGCAGTCAGCTTCATTGGAAGCATTTGCCTTGCTGAAGGACATCAGAACAATAGGGGCATTGGGGACACATTTCACCCCAAACATTTGAAGAATAGCTCTTTTTTCTTTACAGAGTCGTCCTAAGAACTTTATATCCCCTTTTCTGAAGTAATAATAGACCCTTTCCCACCTCCATATAGCTAAAATCTTGGCAAAATGACATCATTTTGTCATACAGGGGATTTCATGTCAATTTGAGGCTTGCTTCCACAGGCTTGACCATATCTTTTAACAGGGGAGGAGTTAAAAGCTCTCCTAGTAATTTCCAGGTGAGATTTTTGAAGATAACAAAAAGGAAAAATTGATAACAAGGAGAGCAATTATCTTTTTAGACCAGTTTAAGAGAGCAAAATGTGGCTCTATTCCAGCATTTGAGCAGACCCTGGAGGGAAGCAAGAGCTATGCCTCTCCTCAATGTTAAGGCCTGCTTTCACCAAAAAACATAAAAAGGGTAATTTTCCATTTTCCCAAGTTCTAAAGCATCAATATAATCCAGGCTCAAATCTAAATGACTCAATATAATCCAGGTTGGAGAATATATATGATTTTGTTTACTTATACTTATACTTATACAATTTTTGCATAGGCTCATATCCCGTATCAAAATCCTACAGGGACCACACGGGTAAAAAAGGGGGCTGAGGGGCAATTTTTTAAATTCACGCCAAAGACTATGAGCTGCAATTGCCAGCTAAGGCATTTGAGCTGAGCAATGTTGTTGAGCTGGTTAAGACATCCGTGCATGTGCTAGTTATCTAGCCTGAGGTATAAAGGAGAACCCATGAGTTCTAGAGAATCATTAATGCCTGGTTAGAAAAAGTGATAATTACCTGTGGCAAAAGTCCTACGGAGAACAATATAATTGCAATCCATTCCATTTTGTTCGCTCCACGCAAATTTGGAACAGCAATTTCTATAGAAATTATAGCAAGCCACACGACTATGCTGGTGCCAAAAAGTGTAACTTTAAATCTGACATCTTCTTTGGAATATAACCAAAATTGGAAAAGCAACCCGGCTGACGTTCCGCAGTATATTATAGACGCTATCTTGAAATAAATATTCTTGGAAGAGATTTGGAAAACAAAGAAAGTATGAACTAAGTTTGCAGTGGAGAGTCCTGCAGCCCACAACGAGCTTAGTCCTTTCGTCGACTTTAGATATGAATTTTTGTGCAGCTGTGGAATAAGGGCAAAAACAAAAGCTGTTGCTGACACGTAAAAGCAGAAGGTTGATAGTCCACATATCATGACAGTTAAATCTGACTGGCAATGAAAGGATAATCCAGCCGACACATTTCCATGTGACATTTCGAGGCCTGGCTACTGTTCCTAAAAGCAAGCTTCGCTGAGAGTAGGATGCTTCTGTTGGGCAAATAAAAGCGAAGTTCAAAAATTAATAAGTTGCTTGGAAAAACAAGTCTCTTTTTGCTTGCTTCCATGTTGCATAATCACTTTTCTCCATCTGCAAACTCTGTTGATCTTGATCTCGCAAATCTAACCAAGCATCATCCACAATCGCATCAACAACTTTTGGAATCCCTTTTGTCTT